CACTGCCATTGCATCAACTGAAGCAATGGGATCTGGCAAGTGAGAAGTGAAGTAAAGTTACAGGGAAATGTGAAACAATGTTTAGAATGTCTTGATCAAAGTTCATTGTTCTACTTTTTGTTGCACCAAAATTCTGTATTTAACTGGAGAAATATTAATTTTAGAAGAGTTTAAAATATTAACAATGAACTTAACAACTGCGTTGTCACAAGCAATAAGGCTGGCAATAACTGTTCATATACTGCCTTTGCTTTTGGCATTATAGGATAATTTGTATTTTGGTCCCAAGTATTGTCTTGTATTATATTGAAGAGATGCAGTGCTGCAATTTATGAGTTGCTTTAATAATAGTACACTGTAAATTAGTATTCAAATATAACTAAACATAAATAGAATCATTTGTAAATGACAGATAAGCCAAAAAAGAAATTCAAAAGCATGACAAATACATACGCAGCATATAGCAAAAATCAGTATGCCAACAGTCTTGAACGAACATAACACATAATAATAAAGACAGGATTACAAGAATAATTCAAAATTAGTGCAAGTAAATGTTTTCAGGACAAGCTTTAAATTAAATGAAATAATAACTTTTACATGTTAGTGAGTATTGTTAATTCGCTACTGCATAAAGGCATTATCATCTTTGTGAAAAAAATATATCTGTTAACGAGTATCTCAAATATTTCTTTCTCATTTGTTACTTGCTAAGAAAAGGCAATGCGAGCAATGTAATTTCATCAGATGTAAGCCTTTGAATAAAGAGCTGTATTGCTTGGCAGAGATGGGAAGTTAATAGTTTATAAATAAAACCACTGCACAATATTCAGTGCTGATGCAATTGTATTAGCAGATAACAAATTAAAACTAAAATAGTATGCGTTTAAGAAGATATTTCACACCTATTATTCTCAGAAATGAAAATTTCAGATCCATTATTATCCTAAAAGAGTGAATTGTTTCCATACATTTCTCTATTCACCAATGATAATATAAAATAGTTGACAGTAATAAAATTATTTCCTCAGTAATAACAAGTATTACCTAATGTATCTTACAGATGATTTGAATTAGCAGTTGACTCTGAACGGTTGTGTTCAAGCAACATAGAATGTAAGGTAAAAGGAAAAATTTCGCATCTGGAGTCGTAAATGAAAACAATAGAAAAATAGATGTGGTTGCAAAAAACTATCTGAAAGGTGTGAGAGAACATTCTGCTAGTGTACCGGAACTCGGTGCAAGCAGAATGATCACACTTGAAGCACTCAACTGTGGAATCGAAATTTAGCAAAGCAAGTGGCCACGACAGCTGTTGGAAGCGGTCTTTGACCGATTTGGAAGATGCTGAGAAGGAGATGGCCGTTGTGTCGTTCCTCATACGGCGAGAAATTTTTGTGTGCTATTACCCTCGAAGAACTGAAGAAGTAAGCGAATGCTGCAATCATTAGTACTGCAGGTCGTTCCTTGCTCACAGGAACGGTTTTTGGAGAAGTCAACGAAACGTGTCAAATTACAAACTACGCACTTTGAGCAAAACACACTACACGAGTTTAAGGTCTAGGTGTAGAGGAGAAATATCTAGTGTTGATGCAAGAAGCACAGGAACGTGAGATAAAGCAGACAAAGTGGAGGCGAAAAGTAATCGCGGCGAATGTTGACCCGCTTATGCTTGGAGCAGTGAACCAAGCGGCAAGTGAATATGTTACACAGAATCCTCGCAAGTCAAAGACCGATATTGCAAGGCAGCTCGAGGCAGCACAACAATGTCATGAAGACATAACGAGGCGAGAAAAGAAGCCATCGGGGTGGAAAGCAAGCATAGAAAAGAAGATAATTAGCTTGTTTCATTTCCATAAATCTCTCATAGAACTGACTTTGGCCGGAGAAAAACTGGGAGGTTAGGACTTAAAAGAGGCCCAGAAGTGTATGAGGGAGATGAATCTCACTCTTACTTGCTCTTAAGCGTGACTGTCATGAAGCGTTAAGCATATTGACAGACCGTGTGAGAGTTTACGAAAGTAAAATAAAAAGTTATCTTTGAAATAATTTATCCACACTACCTTACATTTGTGTAAAAAGAAGCAAGATATGAAATAATCATAGAATTGCAATAAATTAGTTTAAAAGAAAAAGAATATAGTATGCAAAGATTGAACCAAATACCAGTTGGTGCTTACTATTCAAGTTTACAATAAAATTCACCAGTTTTAACAATTAAGTAATAAAGTATATAAAAATTAAGATCTTCCATTATTAAAAACTCTTGCAAGACAGCAATGTATATTTCTCCTTCTAAGCTTTTTTTTCGAACTCCATTTTTTAAGATTGTGAAAATTCCTATAATTCTTTTTGTCTCATTTCGCAATTGCTTCCAACTTAATAGTTGTTTGACTATAAATAACAAAAAGCAAACTTCCTTCTATCAGAAAATAAACTAAAAATAAATACTACCTGACAACTTGTACCAAAACGCATGCATACATCCAATTCAAATAACTTATCGCCAGAAATTATTCGTAATTTTTTAACGTCTTTTTTTTGTATTGCTTTATTTCTCTGCTAATAAATTAGCCTAACCTGTGTAATAATCTACACAAGTGCTCTTCTCTTCAATGATAATAATAAGCTTTGGAAAAGTTTTATTTTATCCAACCGCCAGCACAAAACATCAATTACAGCACAATTTAAGGAATGCCTCAGCAACCTGTAACCAATGCAGAACAATTAACCTTTTCAAATTTTTATTCAGACAAGAGAAATTTGAGCCGAGCCGTATGCAACGGTAATCAACGGCAGCCGCATCTACCACAAATACCAATCTAAGCAAATGAATTATATTCAGAATTTTTCATTAATTTTTAGGATGTTATAATTTATTGGGACCATAAGTTGCTTTATACTCACATAAATAAATTTCAGTCTAAAATTTTCAGCGCCAATAATAGATTCAAGAGTTTTCAAAATTGGAAGTTAACAAAAATTTTTGTAATTTTCAGGCTGTTTATCGTTTTTTAATTTATCTAATGAACCGCAAATGTTCGTTGAAAATTTCAGTGTTATAATTTTTCAAACACGCTGTTTACATTCCAAAATTAATGTAATATGTAAATTCGAAGTATTTTGTTACATGCGTATATGAATGCAAACTATTAAATAATTAAAAAATTAGTGTAAATGTGAACTATTTAGTTTTGATATACTATATTTGCTTAGCTTCCATCAATTCTAATAACGAATAAACTTATATTTCATGTCCTTGTTCTTATTTTCAAATAATCAGTTCTTTTTTCCTTTGTTTTGTTTAAGATTGAATGATTATAACTGTTTAGTTGGTGAGAAAAATTGTGATTAAAACGGTTACAATTTCAATTTACATCAACTTCATAAAAAATTTTGATGATTTAATTGTTTCTTGAAGTTTCATTGGTATCTTTGAGGTGTAGGGCTTATAGCTGTTTGACCTAACTAATTTTTTTTTAAGAACGATCTTTTCAAGTCACATGTGTTGATATTCAATGCGAAGAATGCAAGACATCGACTATTATGTGAAACGATGACTTGGCTATGGTTTTATATGATTATTATCGAAAACGAAAAGTGAGTTTCACAGTATCTGTCAATAATTTTTTCCAATGAACAATGTATGTAATATCTTGGTTTAACATTTTTCCTTGTCACTGAATTTTTTCATTACTTCCATATAATCAAAAATTTAGATCAATCTTATTTTTGAATTCATCTATTTGGAGATTGTGCTAATGTAATGGGGCAATGGTTTCACGCAATAAATCGAACACGAATTGCTTTCCTGACAATGTTACTGCTTTCTACTGGAATAATTTGTCTGGAACGATGTCCTGTAGAGTGTTACTGTCTTGATACGCATGTTGATTGTAGCCATCGAAGTTTAATTGAGATACCATCTTTGATACCATCATGGGTGACCACGTTGTACGCACTCTCATGTTTTAATTTGATGAATTTAAATTTCAAAACAATAGTTTTATTCTAAATTTTGATTAGTTAATAAATTGTATGTTCTATTTTTATTACTTTTTCGTGAGTACATTATAGTATCTGAAGGAATCAAATTTCAAAAGAAATAATACATGAGTTTCAAATTATAGGAATACTTTAAGGGTATATAAGTTAGTGTTAGTATCAGGATATTTTAAATGAGTCAATGTTTATCATATCCTAATTTCATCTTGAGTACTCAAATAATTCTCTTACTGTCAAAAAATAATGAAATTATATTCCGACCGCATAAACTCAATTTTACTTCAACTACAAATTTTATTTATACAGTGTTTTTTCAAAAAAAGAAAACTATGTTCTCTAGCATGTATTCTTCCATAAATTTACGCGTTTTCTGTAGATTGCACAGCTTTATTTTTGTAGGGAATTGCAAGGGAATTACATTGAAAAGATTTCGCCTACCGCTTTCATTGGATTGGATAATCTCATCTCTCTGTAAGTTGCAATCAAGGAAATCATAACAGCGTCTGCATGTTATTAAAATAAAACAAAATGTCTAGGAGTAAATGAGTGCGGAGAAATTTGTACAGTATTAAGGGTTATCTTAGAAACTGCCTGCATGTTATTAAAATGAAACAACATTCACCAGTTTGAAATCATATTTTTCGGGTAAGCATACATTCAAGATTATATGCTAAGTAGATCACTCACTAATTGAATTACATTTTATTATATGTTTCAGGGATCTTAGTGAAAATCGGATTGGTGGTTTCTCCCGTCTTGTTTTGACACACACACCTCAACTTGAAACACTGCATGTTTCTTTTGAATTTTAGTTCGAAATAAGTTCTTATTGTTAATAAACTCAGGTTTTTTAAACTTAGTATGATATGTATCAAAATATTCATTTTGTTGAACTGTTAATAATTTGGGAAAGGAAAAGTATAGCTCTTTCGATTGCTCTGATATAATTTGTCTGGCGTAAATCAGGCATTCGTCAAATTTAGATATTAAGTGCAATTGTTTTAATTCAGTTACACTTTTTCAGTTTGTTACGGAAGAATCGGTTGACTTCTATACCGCTAGGAATCGAGTCTCTGACTAATTTACGTAGGATCGATCTGTAAATCTTACGGACTTTATTTTCAAATTTAGTGGTTTCTTTACACGATAAATTCTAATCAAAATCATTAAGGTTGAGAAATTATGTAAATCAAGTATCTTCCAGCAAAGCCAATAACATTTCTCAAATAACAACGATTGATGTATCCCGAATCGTCACCATTGATATAGTAGACTTGGGTCGCAATACTATACGGGACTTTCCACGCTTGCATGTACTTAGTTCTAGCGCTTCAAAAGTCTCAAAATTGTATGTGTTCGTTTTTATCTAACTTTTTGATATCTTTCAATTGAAAGACTTCGTTTCCACAGTGTCACTGATCTAACTAACTGTGTGGGAAAGCGTGCCTCCAGGCGTCTTTCATACTTTTTGTAGTTTTATAAATATTTTTTTGTGCAAATTTGCAGAGACCTAAGTAATAACATAATATCAACATTGCGCTCTGATACGTTCGTGGCTTTGAGGTCACTTCGTGTTTTGAGATTGTCTCGCAACAAAATAGAAAACATCGAGAAAGACGCTTTTCAAGGACTTTTTGCGCTTCGGTTTTTGTAAGTAGACCCCTTTTTATTTTAAAAAAATTTTGTTTATTGGTTTTATCAAAATGTTTTTAACATATTTTTGGTTTGAGATTATTTCTATCCGTTCATAAATAATTAGAGTATGTTAGTTCCAAAATTTTTCATTTTTAAGAAGTTGCTTTTTCTAGTTTTGTTTGTATGAATTGGATGTGTTATGTTTTCTAACTCTACCATAATTTTTTTGTTTTGTAGCAAAGAATGTGTTTTTAGAGATCTGAGTCGCAATCGTATTTCCATTTTGCATGCGCTAACATTCAGCTCGCTTACATCACTCCAAAATTTGTCACTTGCTCGAAATTTGATGGGCACCCTTGAAGACGGAGCTTTTTGGGGCTTGGATCAGCTGCAGCGTTTAAATGTTGCAGAAAATCAGCTGAAAACAGTCAATAGTGGTTGGCTGTATGGAATGCGTTCGCTAACAGCTCTGTATCCTTTATATTTTATGTGCTTAAAGTGATGTATTTTTTCAGTATTTAAAAAGTTTTCAAGTTTGTTTTCTTTTTAAAAATTTTCTGCTGTATTTAAATTTTTTAGTGACCTAAGTGCAAATGACATAGCATGGATAGACTCTTCGGCATGGTCTCTTTGCTCCTCTCTTCGTTGGCTTGATTTATCATCTAATCGCCTTCGCGCACTTCCTTCACTGCTCTTCAAAAAGCTTTCACGACTGGAATATCTTTCTCTAGCTAATAATCAAATTGATACAATACATCGGAACGCTATGCGTGATCTGGATAGATTGAATTATCTGTTGGTTTTATTTTGTCTCATGAAGAGACTTGATCTTTTTAATGTTTTCGTCAGTTTTTTGTAGTTTTTCTCCAATTTTGCCATTTACGAACATTGTTTTTCACATATTGGAATATATACAGTGATCTTTCTGGAAATGGATTGGCTATGTGTGTTGAAGATGAGTCAGTTCTTGCAAATACTTCTCTGCCAAGGTTGCAAACTCTTAAATTTGCTTCCAATCGAGTTCGAACAATCCCAGCGCGTGCATTCGAAAATTTTCCATCGTTACAAGTTTTGGATTTGACTGATAATCCTATTTCTAGCATTCAGACTGGGGCATTTGAATCACTGCATTTAAAACGACTGTGAGTTGATGAATTATATTCAGGAAAATTATTATTTCAATTTCAGTGTCCGGTGATTATAACAAATACTTCTGGATTGCAGTTTCATTAATACATCCTTCCTTGTATGTGACTGTGAGGTAAGATGGTTCTCCCACTGGTTGTTGTTGTCCAAACTTGATCGTAAAACTGTGAAAATGTCATGTTCTTATCCGACACTTTTGCATGGTACTGATATCGCTTTAATTGATGATGCGAATCTGACATGTGGTGAGTTTAGAACTCTATTTTTTTCATACAAGCAGATTTTGGAAGTTTTGATGCATATAGATTTTGGTTTTTGATGAAATGATATTAAAGAATAATAACCTTTTAGTCGATGATTCACCACGTCCACGGTTACTAAATCACCCGGACCCGCTGATCAAAGTGTTACTGGGGAATGATGTTAAATTAAACTGCACTGGTTATGGTGCTGCACCATTAGATATAAAATGGAAGGTTATTCGTGATGGACGATTTCGTCTCTTATCTCACGATGCTATGACAAATTTATTTTATAATCGTTCTTCTGTCATTAATAGTAAGTTATTGACAAATTTGTGGAAATTTAGACTTGACTCGGATAAAATTGTTTTGTGTATTTCAGGTACAGTTACAGGACTTACAATGGAATATCTTTTTAGTGAACTGCAACTCAGTAACTCTGACTTTAGTGATCAGGCGGAATATCAGTGCATTGTACGCAATCATTACGGTTCAGCTCATTCTTTGAAGTAAAAAATTCAAGTTAATTGCTGAATTTTCATTATTCACTCAAGGGATTGACTGGAATTTATTTTTATACACTTTTTTGCTATCCTTTATTTATGGATAACCTTCTTTATTTTTTTTGAGAGTGAAATTAATGGTCTTGCAAAAGCCACAAATTGATTATTCACCATCAAACATATCAATTGTTCAGGGTGGTATTGCGAGATTAAAATGTGTTGCACAAGGTGATTATTTTTTGCGAAATGTAATTTTTGTTTTGATATATATATATACATAAAGTGAGTTTTCGAAATGCTGGAGTGTGTCCGGTGTGAAGTGTATTATTTTTCACGGAAAATTAAAGTTAAACGACTTAAAGTATATAATGCTTTCACTATCCTGATAGCTTTATATACTTGAAGTAGTTTAAACAATATATATCCGTTGATAACTTGAAAATTTGTTCCTGATTCTTACTTCTATCTTATTTAGTAATAAACTCGTTCTAAAAAATTTTATATATTTCATCATTTCTTTGCGTATTTTTATATATTTCGGACCCAGTTTTTACATGATGCATCTTATAACAGTATTAATTAGTAAAACTTTCAGCAAATTTCATCTGTTTTTTTCTCTTTAAATTAGTTAATACTAGGTGTTCCAACACCAGATGTTAAATGGATAAAAGATGATGGCAGTTCATTTCCGGCTGCGCTAGAAAGACGCTTGCACGTGAAAGCAAATGATGACAATTTGTATCTAGTTAATGTATCATCAGTAGATACGGGTATTTATACGTGTCATGTGAGCAATGAGGCGGGGCATGTGGAAAGTTCTGCACATGTTTTCGTTTATGGTAAGTTTGTGTCCTGATTATGCAGGGTTGATGTGGTCACTCGGTTACAAGTAGTAATGACCATCCATCAGTTTATTATCGCATGTTGGATTATCACTATTACAGCTTTTATTTCTCAATTATAGTTTTTACTATCTTATTAATTTTTTATTTGATTTCGTTTAATGTTCCAAAATCTCTACTTTCTCAGATAACAAATTGTGGCCACAGCTTGAAGATCGGAAAGTACGTACTGGAGCTACTGTGATATTCAATTGTTCAGTCAAAGGAAACTTTAATGTTTCGGTACAGTGGTTACTTAACAGTCGTGTAATAGATCCTACTACGGCTCCTTCACGTTTAACTTTCAAAGGTGCCAATCAGTTATTGGTGCTTAGTCAGGTGATCAGGCTTCCTCTTGTTATCTAAATAAATCAAAATATTTTCTCTTATTAACTGCGTTTGTTGTTCCTCAAGAATTATTTTTATAACTGTAGGCACGAGCTTCGGATAGTGGAGTTTATGCTTGTGAATTTAAAGTGGGTAATGAGGTTCTTTCGCGGGTGTCTTCAACATTAGTTGTTGAAAATGGTGATGGAGAGAATTGGAATAAGAAACGTGAAGATAATGACAGTGAAGTTGATAGAACGTTACAGTACTCAATTGCTGCGTGTTTTGTTACCTTATTTATTTTAACTACTGGGCTATGTTGTATGATTTACGCGATGAAGCAAAAAGAGCGGTATTCTTCAGTGAAGGTTTGCACTCTTTTTCCCTAAATGTTTTTTCCTTCAAGTTATGAACTTTTAAAAATAAACATTACGACTCATTTATTTTCCCAAAACCTGCTTAAAAATGTTCGTGTGTACAAGTAAACACTTATTTTTTTACTTAGAAAAAGATTTTATGTGGTCTCTTCAGAGCGATTCGGCCACGACTATTGCTGAAAGATCTACCATTGAAAGAGAACAATCTGTGTTGGCAGAAAGAGTGCAAGTATGCCTTGTCGCTTAAGTCAATTTATTTTTGCATAAATGTTGAATCGACGAAATATTGCTAGGCTAAAACACAATCCATGTCAATTCTGTGATGATAAGGTTTTCGAAAGGTTATTGTAATTGATTTTAAAATTCATTTTTATTGTCGGTGTTTTAATTGCTCATAAATAGCTTTTAATCTGCCATTATTTGATCTTCATTTATTTTTTTTATTATAGCATTTTAGTACATTGCTATGTTCAGGAGTGCAATTTTATGATGACATTTTTTTGGTTTTTTCATTTGGAATTGTACATAATAATAAGCTTTAAGTTGTGTATTCCATATGCTTTAAAATTTCGTATCGTTAATTGTATCTTCACAGACTCTGATCTACTTCATGCTTTGATTTTCATTGTCTTATTTAGATAACTCTATTGTAATAATTGTATTGTATCGATAGTTTTAATACTGAGGCGCATGCATTTTGAATCAGAATAATGTCCAAGTCTTTAATTCAAAAGATTCAGAGTGAAATAAGCAACCAAAAAAAGAACAGAATATTCGGTTTAACCATAATTAGGTAAAAATTAATAAAATCACAAAGAAAAACCAAGGAGTAGTGTCTTTCAAAATATCAAGACTTAATAACTTTCTTGTCGTCTTATTATCTTATGCTTGAGTGATCATTATTTCATTGTGCCTTTCATTGACGTCTTGGTTTATTTATATGCAGCTCGAATGTGCTTTACAATTTAAGTATATATTTCAATTTTTGTTTTCTCTAGTCCAGTCACTTCATTGTTATTACATCGTGTTTTAAACCAAATTTGTTTTCTGATGGCTTTTTGAGTCACAAAATATGTTTCTGTGTTTATTTCGCTTATAATTATGTTCAAATTCCGACAAACTCTGATTGATATAAGTTTATCAGAATTGGATTTTTATTTATTTCATCCGTATTCCTATTTCTCATTTTATTTTCTAACATCCATGTTTGATATGTCTTGTACATATTTCATTTAGGTGCATTATTATAGTTGATTGCTTTTATTCAGTTAATTATAGCACCTTAATAATTTTTTTTTCATCTATGAGTATTGTAATAGGCTTATAAAATTATTAAGGAATTATGTATTTTTCCGAAATATTCGTGTTCCATTTTAGGAAGTTCCATATTTGGAAACATGTATTTGACTTACATATATAGTTCGTTTTTCCACTTGTCTTCATAATTTATAAATTTAAGATGTAAGTAAATTATTAAAATGTGTATATTTTGACCAAAGTTGTTGCTTTCTTTGGTTAATAAAGCAACTTAAGAGAATTATTTTTATGTTTTAAGAAAAAGACATTAATTTGATATATTACCCATACTTTTTTTGCGATGCGAATTTTATTGCTTTTAATTTTTTCGTGAAACTTTTTAGAGATTTTTGGTTTTGCTAATTGCTCATTGTATTTTTTCCTTCTCGTTTCCTTGCTAACTCTAAGGGATTCATTAATATGTTCATACGTCCTTCACATTATATAAATATTTTTATTGACAAAAGGAAACGTGAATATGCTAGAAAAAATCTGTGAACTAAGACCCATGTAAATGTACAGAAACTGAATTTTTGAAACATTTACTTCTTAGTGTTTTCTTTATTCAAATTCAGGTATAGCTTTTGTTAGAAGTTCAAATATATTATATCTTGTAACTGATTCTTGCAATTACATGTTGTGATTGAGTCTTTATGTGCTTATATACTGATTTAGTTATGATCAGTTATTTATATATTTTGCATATAAGAAAGCGAGAATTTTTTGTGTGATTTGTCCGTGCAATGTCAACCTGATTGCAACAGATTATAGTTGACCTGTTATCCATTATGGTTATTTGATGATGGTTTCTAGAGTTGTCACTTTCACTTATCGAATTCATGCCATTAAAATTTTTATATACTGCAGAATTGTGCCATAGAATTTTCATTGATAAACTAGTAAAAACTAGTGACAAATGAGTTATTATTAATTATGGATTACTAGTTAACAGTTGAAACGTGCATTCCTTTCTCTATTACATGGGAATATAGACGTACATATGCTTGTAATATTAAAAAATGGGATACGGATTATTATGCTCTGAACAGGACGTGGGAAATTTTTATTCTGATACTTTTAGCTTCAATTTTCGACAATCTCCAGTTAGTATGATTCAGTGATTCAGTAGCTGTGATAATGTGAGGAGTCGTTTAATGTCCATTTCAGCATTTGACGTATTGGGAAAAGTTTGAAGAAATAAAGAAGAGGTCTCACGTATTAGCATCACAAGTCCAGCTTTTTATTTCAGGTTCATCTGAAATATACCTCGAACTGATGCCATCACACCATTATGCGATTAATCTTTGTCTTGGAGTATTTAAATTAATGTATTTATAATTTCGGTCATTTGTTGGCTTGTTTTGTACTCTATTAGTCATACTGACTCTTCAGCAGGTAATTTTCTAACTTGCATGGAGAAATTGTGCAGTCTCATGAGTAATAACTGTTGGAGTTGGCTTTTCTGTCTGTGACTGAATCAACGTTGGATGAGAAAAGTAAGCGATGCAGATAATATTAAGCCAATAGATTTTGTATTGGAATAGAAATGCTTGACCCTTGACCTCCCGTTTTTAAGAATGACCGTTTAGTCTTGTCGTTGCGTAATGTAAAATCAGAGTTAAAGATCCCATCAGTTTTAAATTTTCAGCAGACAGCATTAATTGTTAGATTTATGTGTGTCCTAAGCAAGACATCGCAGTTCAGTCTGATAGATTTTTACTGTTGTTTTTATCGATCTAGTCATGCATTTCGACACAAATACCTATACTTCTGTTTGTAATCCTTTTTTAAGTCGGCTTATACTGTAACCAGCATTTACGTACTACTAGAATGAAAGATTCATTATTCGAACGGAAGTATAACCATGGTCATAGACGAGCTTTTTCAATGCCTAATGCAAGTGCTGAACGTACTTCAGTGGCTGTTGTTGGAAATAGTAATTTGTCTGTAAGTTTCTGGATTAATTTATCAGGGCAGTTTCCTTAGTCATTATATCAGTTCTGTTGAAATTGATTCATGTAACCATTACAAATTTGTTATATCAAGATTAACAGAAGCAGGCTTAAACAATTTCACTTAATTACTATCTTAGATGTTTGTTCAGGGAGCCCAGATGAAGAAAAGATACTTTGTGCGATTTCGTCCTTATGGCCATAAAAATAAACGGTTGGAAACTACGAAAACAGTAAATAATATAGCAAATGGATCACAAATAGTAGTACCAATCACTGAAGATGATGACGCTGATCTTTCGGTATACTTTTAACTGTTTAAAACATCTGGATGAAGATTTACTTTTCTTAAACTTCTTATTTATTGGGAAATTTCTATTTCTCTCATGTTCCGTATTTTAAACATTCTAAAATCATTAGTTTAAGAAGTTGTGAGACTTACATGTATTATGTATTATTTGTTATATTGTCACAAGAATGTTGTGTACTGATATTGCTTTCGGCTTTTAGGTAAAAATTAACGAGGAAGAGTTAGTTTTACCGAGTGAAGAAACAGCTAAACGTAGTGCACGTATTGCTATAAGAAGGGTATTTATCTTGTAGTATCGTATCCTTCTCTTATTTTTCTTTCTTTCATTTTCCTAATACTTATTAAGTTGAGTTAGTCATTGATCAGTAAAACAAATACATGAATAAATAAAATTAAGATTTGGGAAGCTCGATGGAAAGTCACAAATTTCGAACTACTTCCAGAATGGCTGCAAGATAATGAATATTTGCGTACTGGGCATAGGCCACCTTTACCGAGTTTTGGGTCATGTTTCAAAAGTATATTTTCGCTTCATACTGAAACCGGTAATATCTGGACGCATATGTATGGTTCGTTTGTTTAAGAAATGCTTCATGTGATTTGTAACAAGATTATGTTGAGACAAAGAATTTTCAATTCCTGTTTGAATTAATCATGATCTGTTGCATCCTTATACCGTGTCGCTCGTGATTTTAATTCTGTCAGCATTTTTTAACTTAATTGTGCTGTGAGTAGATCTGAAACCATGTAAGTTCGAGATAGATTGGTGAAATGGGCTGATATAAATTTTAGGTTGCATGGCATTCATTGGAGCTGCAGCTTGGTTTCTAACGCGTCCATCAACGCTGATACAGTTGGAAGAAAAAGTGGTATTTGGAACATATTTTGTTGGTGCAATAGCTTGTTTAGGATTATCGTTTGCTTTTCATACAGTACAGTGTCATTCTGTTGAAGTTGGAAAACTTTTCAGCAAGTCTGTTATTTTTTAATTCTACTCTTTCCGATTGCCATAATTTAGGATAAAAAATAGTAAAATTATATCAAATTTGTTTGCACATACTCTCATTTTATGCTTTTTTTTTCTCATTTTGATTGAAACTAATGCATTTAATATAATTGATTGATGTTTTTATTGAGTTTTAGTTACATATAAAGTTGTATTTTAGTTGGTGGGAAGTCGTACAGAGAAAATAAACTTGATTTCATTAGCTTTAACTGTTTCGCTAATAAATGTGTCTTATATTCAGTTTTTCATCATTCACAAAGACCAAAAATAGAGAATTTTGTATATATTTCATTAAATGTGTGGAGAAATATTAAAGAAATCTCGGTATACGATTTTGTTGCAGCATCTTATCCTCTTCATTCTTCTTTAACCGAATTAAAATGAAATGTAATCAAGCGTTTTATGTGATTTTTAGCTAGTTTTAGATTAGACTACACAGGTATCAGCTTATTAATCGTTGGTTCTTTCATCCCTTGGATTTACTACGGATTTTATTGTCGTATGCTACCTATGATTATTTATTTATCTATGATTTCTTTTCTTGGGATTGCCGCTGTAATTGTGTCTTTATGGGATAAATTTGCACAACCTCGCTACAGGCCTTTGCGAGCTTCCATATTTATAGCAATGGGTTTAAGTAGTAAGTTATTTTTCCTAATTGCATAACTATTTAATATTTAGTTTTTTCAATATGTTTTAGATCTGAAGATGCCTGGTCACTTGGTTTCATATTGGTGTCCAAAAACATAAGTCATTTATATGCTAAGTATTTTCATTACTTCAGCCATTTTAATTTTTCAGGTATTGTACCAGCCTTACACATATTAATAACTGACGGTATTTCGTATCTTTTAAACGAGCTTTCGTTACTTTGGCTTATTTTAATGGGTGTTTTGTATATATCAGGTGCTGTGTTATATGCCACTCGTACTCCTGAAAGGTGCTTTCCAGGAAAATTTGATTTATGGGTGTGTTTTAGCATAATTTTTTATTTCTACGAGGAATGCAGTTTTGATCAAGATAAAACAGATTATAATTTTGGTAAAATATAGTTCAAAGTTTTACTCTTTTTCTAGTTACAATCACATCAGCTGTTTCATATGTTTGTCATAGCTGCCGCTCTAGTACATTTTTACGGGATCAGTAAAACAGCTGTAAGGCATCTGGAGCAAGGATCTTGCGCTGAACAAGTCTTGGAACAATACGGATATGAAGATTCTTGATAGCTGTGACGTTAATTATATTGATCATAGAATGTTTAATAAAGAACTTGCCATTCGTGTTTATCTCCACTCTTGGAAACCACTGAAATATCGTTAATAATGAAAAGGATTATAAGTCAAACTTTGTATTGTCTTTCTATTTATTGTTATAGTTGAAGGGAAATGATACATTGCGCTTTGCAAAGGGGTTAAATAAAGTACTTTTTGTTTCAAATCTCTGATAATATGAAATCAGAATCAACCATACTAACTGTTTTCAATTAGTAACAGATCCCTTACTTGTGTGTATTCAGTCATTGAGTCTTAGAAAATGCTTATGATTTGGATGCGGTATTTTAAGTCTGGATTTCTTGTTCCGTCCCTTTGATATTTGCAGTTGTACATGGTTTTTTAAATTAGTGGATGGACTTCATTTAGTTTATATTAGGAAGCGATAAGAAGTCGTGCATTAATTATTTGTTCTTTAGTTTCAACTGCCATCATGTTTGTAGGACGATGTTGAGAGCGGTAATCCATGGTTGCTTTCGTTCTGCTGGGACTCTTATAAGAAAAGTGCCATCAGTATTGGCACAAGAGACACCTTCCATTTGTTCAACATCCTTATATCAGAATAAGATCATTTTAAATCAGGTGAGATGGAATCTTCGCGCGTAGAGTGGCAGTCGGAGTGTAAGTGCCAAGTTTAATGTCGATTTATTACGGAGTGACATTTGTTGTTTGTTCTACCTACTTTAGATATGTTTCATCATGATACCTTTTTGGTATGTTTTGGCTGAATATTTGTATAAAAAGACATTCTTCAAAAAAATTTAAGGTTCGATTTGCTGCACACGTTCATTTGACTATGAAAGCTGTGGAAGAACGAATTATGCTAGTTTTGAGCCTGTATGATAAGGTATACTGCTTAATGTGATAAACAAGCGATTGTTATTTTTTCAAAGTGGTAAATAGTATAAGCGTAATTCGATTAGAATTCAAAGTTTATTATCGAGTTTTGAAGTGTTTTTACTGCTATTGATAAACACTGGTAGGGAAAGGGAATTATAGTCTTCGTTTTATGAATTGGCTACAGCCTTGGGTCCATTTTGTTAATAACGCTTTATTAGACTCGAAATTAAGTCTATTTTTTGCAGATAGATCCAAAGAAACTGACACTCGATTCAGATTTTGTTAAGGATCTAGGATTGGATTCACTGGATTTCGTGGAAGTAATAATGGCCATTGAAGACGAATTCAAGTTTGAAATTCCAGATGGTGATTCAGATAATATAAAGACGCCAAGGGATATATATCAGTATATTTGTGATAGAAAAGATATTTATGAATAAAATATAAATATTTGCAGTATTATTTTCATTGTCTTCTCAATGTCATCAAAGTTTTAAATTTATGATTAAGTTCATGCATCAAACATATTCATTAATTTATTTGGTCATTTTAGCAATGTAGATAAATTTTGAAGATCTTGTGAGTTAAATACCTTATTTAATTTGATAAAATATTTGCAGTTGTCTAGTCTCTTTTTAGTCTCTTCTGTTACCACTGTAAGTGGAGAGAAAAAATGGTATGACTTCTAATAGTGATAACCACTGTTAACATTTTCTTTTTTTGCTTGGTTGATTACATCTAAGGCTAATCGTTTTCAGTAGGTTTAATGTGTGTGCAATATAACTTCTTGTCGCTGCTTCATTGATGTGTGAATGCATTTTAAGTATGCATTCATTATTTCTTCTTCATCACATAGTGCCTTTAATTATGTGGTAAGTGATATAAGATGCTTTATATTGCTGCTGATTTACTGCTTTCAGCAAGTTAGCGCAAAGTCTGAGAGTTGCCATTTGGAAATAGTAATTACGTACCGGTAAGAACTGGCTATTCACATAAGAAGATATGCTGCAGAAGAATATAAAATGGAGACACGCGATTTCGAGGGGTCGAAAGAGGCGTGTGAAGAGCAAATGAAAAAGCCAACCATTTGAAAGTAATATTTGAGTTCTATGCATTCATTCTTCGTGTTCTACTACACTGCTCAGTACTTATTCATCTTCACTCACTCGTTTGCATGACTTCCTTGTCAGTTCAATTTTTCTGCGCTTTATAAGTAAGCTTTTCTTAGACGATCTCTTGCCCATTCACTCAAGATCCTAAATAATAACCTAATTACATGTGTACTTCAATGCTTTTGTTCATTAATGAAATGCTTATTCTTCTCTTCCCTTACAATACTAATTGGACACGGCTATTCCTTACTTTATATATATATATATATATATACATGTATATAAAGCAAGGATTCTAAATTGCTCATAATTATTTTTTTTAGTTTTTTTCATCCTGGATACAAAGCAATATGAGAATGCTTTGTATTTAAAATGATTATAAGCTATCATTTTCAGGCTAGCACTATAATTTGCATCGAAAAATAGCACAGAAAAATTAATTCACTAACATCCGATATTCGCAATTTTTCATTTTCTAGTTGTGAGTGGAAATTGCAAACGATACAAGATTTAAAAAAAGTTCCCATATGGACAAGTTACGCTACTTGGTTTGTTGCAACCAGCAGGTTGGTACGACCACACGCAATGATCATTTCAGTCATTAAAAACTATGATGTAGAAATCATTATGAGTAATGATAGTATCTGATCAAATATTTTTATACGGACATTTGCGTGTGTGAATTTTATCGCATATGATTGCTATAAATGAATAAATATATTCGGAGGAAATATTTGTCTTTATAAGTTGGTATTATTTTCTTTCAGTTATGAAAAAAATACATTGGTATCAAATTTAAAATATGAGGACAGATTAATTAAAATTAGTAGTAGGGAAACCGTTTTTAAATTTGTTTACATTTATTTTGATTAATATTTTTCTTGTAAAATCAGATATGAGAATTAGTTTTGTTCAAACCTGACTCTTTTATTCAGTTTATTGTAGATTGTAGATTACTGTTAGAACTAAAGAAATTTCAATAGTACTGAATTCTAGCATTTTCAATTCCTTTCAGCTCTGAAGATTTGCTTGATAATTTTGAAACTGTGTATTAAAAAATTTACTGCAAACACTATATAAATATAAATTTTTTGAATTACTTTCATTGAGATTAAAGTTCTGCAGAATCACTTTTGCTCAGAAAAACAAATTAATTTTTTTTCTTCATGCTTATATATCATGCTAGTAGAGCCGATAACTTCTAGTGTTTCTTATATTGAAGCTTAAATTTGTTGGAAATTTTTAATTAGTAGAAAGCATGCTTTATTTTAACGCATGAAGCTTAGTTAAAATATTCTTTGAGTTGAATTCATTCTTCACTACTTTCTTTAACTTTGGCGAAGAGAACTGTTAATGTCATTTGCATAATTTAGCGTTAATACTAATCTATAGCACACAAAAAAATGTTTATTTCAAAATTTTTTTAGTGTATAATAGGCTGAGAAAACTTGAAAAGTGTCGTTTTTTACTTTCAAGAAATGAATTAATAACAACGTAATATTGCAAAAACTAATTTTCAGTCAGAAAATTTTCTATGAATCAGTCATTTTCTATATTCCATACAATCTTGTCACTATTCTTTAAAAAGATTTGAGGTTGTTATTATTATTTCATCAAAATGTCAGTCAAAGTTTTTTATTTTCTTCAAATAAGTAAGTGCTACTGGTCAAAGTGTTATACGTTTGTAATAGTAATCTAATTTGAGAAGAGTTTAGCGAAGTGGAAAAAGAAAATTTGAAAGTTGCGAGGAATCATTTTGAAAATTAATAATATAAAATGATTAATATGACACGAAAGCAAATTTTTATCACATATCTTTGCGTTCAGCTGAAATCTAATACTTTCTGGTAAATAATTATTTGACGTATATCAAATAAATGCACATATAATCTGATAACCGATAGATTTTTGCATTCTTAGCATAATTTATTTGTTACTTTTTGAATGAAATTGAATTGTTTTTAAATAAATATGCAGAAGTTCATGAAAAGTGAGCCAAACTTTAATGTATTTCTTTCCTACACTTATTGTTTTTTAAATTCTTCTTATTTCCTGAAAAGGAAGACTTGTATTCTAAAAAGTTTCACGTTCTTTAGAAAAGAATTGCAATCTCATAAATCGTTTAAAATGGAAGCAAACAATGAAATGTTTATGAAGATAGATTTCTTTCTCCAAATTTCACTAACTTCTTATTTTGAACCTTTCATAAGACAAGTTTATATGATAAATTATTTTTAATACTTGAACTGTAGAAAATTTCTACAAAAAGACATTCAAAAATAAGTCTGTCTTTGAAAATAAAATTAGAAGAAATATGTGGATTAAGAGTGAGATTGACGTTGATAATAATAGTAGCATCATTATCGCTTCAGTTTCAGACCCTTTTCGATATTAAGTTTTATCCTCTTGAGGTTACTTTTAAATATAAGCAAATGGGCATTTTTAATACTTCTCATCTGAGTATTCATTGGTTGGGGTTGTTGGCATCTTAATATAAGAATATTACTTCATTACTAGCCTATTTTATTATTCTGATAAAACCTTATTAATTGGATAAATTTTTGAAATTGAATTTTGTGCAATTCATCTTGTTATTTTTAAGATAATTGCTTTATGTTTTTATCTTTTTTTTGAATTTCCAAAATTTTTACTTTTGGAATTCAGAAATAAAGCATTAAGAGTATGTTCACCAAATGAATTCATGAGTTTTTGGAGCTATTTTTTTATAAAACTGTCTAAATATTCAACTTTATTTGCTCTTTTATTTAAGCCAAATTCTATCAAAGTTTCTTCGATAATTATTTCAGAAATCACTAAAGTATACATACTGACTAAAAGAAATTATCTGAATATTTCTTGATTTTGTGCTGTTAATTTCGAATTCATGTTTTTGAGATGTAAGAGATAATTAATTGATGAATAAATTTGTTATGATTAGAAATAATATATGCAAAAAATTAATGAATAAAACTTATGATTTTAATTTTTCTTTTAATTTTCACGGATATCAACATATTTCATTGAAATAAAATAAAACTAATAGCGGTGAAATTAAGAAATAATATGAATGTCAAATTAGTTCTATAACGCATAATTCAAAAAATACAGTAACTTTCTATATGATTATTATTGATTGTGATGAGCAGTTGATGAGCCCAAAACTATTCAGTTTATAGTCACAAATTCTGATTTGAAATAAACATAATCTTTTAATTTTTGTTTTGAATTTATGAATAGTTTCTTTGAAATAATTAATAAATATATGAAATTGATTACTAATTGTATTTTTCGGACAATTGTAATGAATTAAAAGATTTGTTTAAGCTAATATATTTTCTTAAATTATTTGGGCTAATATGTATATTTTTTCATTGCATGTAATAAATTATTTCCTCTTGCATGCAGTACGAACTTAATTTTTCAATCAAATAATTGTTAGATGTTAGATGTTAGATATATAAATAATTTAAAGTAAAGGCAGTTATCAAAAAATAGCTGGAAATTTTAATTAAAATACATATTTTTTATCGCCACTTTTATATCTTATTTTATGGTAAAATTGATTTTATCGTTACTAATTAACTATTCAATACCAATTGAAATATTTGTTTTGTATAGGAAAATATAATTATTTCTGGTCATTTTTTATTACAGGCTTTATTTTTTTCAATCAGTCTTTCTTTTCAATTGTGCCCTCAATTTTATTTGTATTTTTTTATCTTTGCAAGTTCCTTTCAAGTTTAATCTTTATATTAATATCTTTATATTTCTTTTTAGGGCAATAATACTTTTGAAAAATTATCAAATCATAGCTTTTATTTATGAAATTTGAATTCAAAAAATCACTATTATTATCTTTTGATGTTGCACTAAAGTTTTCTTATTTATTTTTACATTATATTAAGCAAATGTTTTTTTTGCATGATTGTCACTAATCATTTCATGTGTTAAAAAATTAAGCTGCTAACTCATAAAATGGACGGTGATAATATATGTTATCATGATGAACTCGCGGCTGCTACAAAGGCAGCACTAAATCGTGAAGGATTATGGAATGTTAAGAACTCTCAAAGTGCATCAAATGATTACAGTTATGAAGAGATTGAGATTGTTCCAACAAAAATGAGGTGAGTAAGCAGTTATTGAATTTTAAAAAGGATTACAATGAAGTTTTTAGAAAGTTAGTCAAGTTTTTTGACTGCAAATGAGACGAAATGCATAAATGCTAATGGAGCTGCTACTATAAAACTTTGTATTGCTTCTTTAAAAGTATCATCTTACAGAAGAGCTCAAATGTCGATTTAAGTAATTTCACTTTTTTCTTTTCACACAAGTTTAGCAGTTTGACAGTTTGACAGTAGTATTATTACTGAATTTTACGATAATACAAAATTTAAGGGCATTCGTTCTTAATGTGTGCTTCAAAAAACCGAAATTCAAAAGATTAACAGTATTTTAAAATATGTTTGTAACACTGCATTTATATACATGTAATGTGGTAATACTTTAAAGTGTTATAAATTTTAGCACTGAAAATTTTTGTGTTCTCGCATTAGCAGTTTTGTATTGAATACAATAATTTTCATTTAGTGTGTAGTTTTTTATGAAAGCTATAATAAAGTAGGAGTAGTAGTGATAAATATTGAAAATAATAAGATACGACTCGACAAATTGTAAAGCATTAAAAATTGATGCTATTTATAATTTCACTAAAAAATGAGTAAAAAATATGTCAAATCTTTAAAATTTTTCAGTAATCAGTTGTTTGCAAATTTTGCTCTTCATAAAAGTTTTTTCAATAAATGCAAAAAAAAATTTTAAATACAAATATTTTGAATAAGTTAAAATTGTAACAATATATTATGTAATGAAGGAAAAATGTATTAATAAAAGTCATAATATAAATCAAAATAAGAAATAATAAATTGAAAGTGATAATAAAATATTGTAAAAATGGTTTTGCTGCATTTTATTTTGATTGTATAAATATGATATATGTTTTGTTTTGTTGTTTAGTGAAATGAGGTGAAGTGTTCAGGTGAATAGTCAGTCTCAGGTGGATAAATCTTTTACGTTTTTGCCAAAGTTTAAATGGTAAAATAAAATGCACAAAGAATTGAAGATTTAGTATGATTTGCAACAAACACACATAAGCAATTGGTTGAAAGGAGGGAAGAAAGCAAAGTAAATGGCGTTTCAATCATTTCACTTTTAAACGTTCATACAACAAATTTTAGCCGGAATTAACAGAGGAAGAATTGAAGGATAAATAGATGGATGCAAAATAAGCAGCTGTCAGCAACTTTGCTTTCTTTACTATATTTCCTCTCCATTTCATTTATTATAGATTATATTTACATAAATATGCAAATATTATTATTTTCTTATTGTATTTATTTAAAAAAAATAGCAACGTTTGGTTATTTTTTGCTTTTTTTTCTACAACATTATTAGCATCAAAAAGGAAAAGAACATTGGGTTTTTTTTTTTAATCTCTTTCAGATAATTCAACTTACAATTTATAAAACTCCGTAGTAATGGTAATTATTTGCAACACCATGAGAAAAATTCAAATATTAAAAACAAATTTGAAAATGCAAATTAGAATCTGTATAATTAATTTTACATTTTGGAGGCAAACTGATGAAATATTTGAATAATACTTTCGTTTCTTACATCTAACCAGTTTGTGACTATTATTGAAAGTAAAAAGATTGTTAATGTTAAAGCGTAGATCAAAATTTTCAACTATTTGTTTATAATATAAATTTTGAAAAATTTCAGCGAATATATGGAGGCATTTGCGAATGTTGGAAACGGGTTAAGCGATGTCGAGTATGAGGTTAATTTTTATCTTTTGCTTTCCTAATTACCTTATATTTTTATCATTGATAATTTGCAAATATCATTGAAAAAACCTGTAGATATCAAAATCACATTTATTTATTATTGACCTATGTTTCTCTTGTCTTTCCATAAGTAAGAAGAATAAAAAAACAACGAATAACTAACTTCTCGCATGCAAGTTAGATAATAATGATTGTTACAGGTGCAATTACCTTGAAATGTTTGTGTTAGAGTTAAGATTAAAGTTAATTTTGTAGTTTTCGTTGACAAAAGCATTAATGTATTGTAACTGTTTAATGGTTGGGAGGTTGTTTTACATTGTTTTTGCATGTAGAGAAAAGATGCGCATGATTTAAAATTAAACAGTCAGTATCTTTGTCCTTCTCTGCTTAACAAATCTAAATTTTCCCAAATGTTAGCACACTGAAATTAGTAATTGAAATTTTATTTGGAAACAGCTGCTAATTTTATGCAGCTAAAGATTGTCAAATTATTATTTGAAAATTTCTATTACTTAAAAAAATATTGCAAATTTTGGAATTTATTTGTAATTAATTTTTTATGTTTTACTCATTATTTTATAAGCTCAAAGGTTAAATAAATGTAGCGACTTTTTATTGAGTTCATATTTTTACATGGGTTTCAGTTGTTTTTTTTCACGCTTGTTACTTCTATTTTGAAATATAAATAATATTTATGATTTATTTTTGATTTCACTTTATTGCCAGGATATAAATAGTAAAATAATCGAAATTTTAAATTTATGAGTTCTATTCCTTTGCTATTTCATTTCAATCAATCTACGATTACTATTTGAACAGCTTTGAAAACTCGTTCATCTATCCACTAGCCTTCTCAATGTCATTTATCTCCTTTTGCTTTATCAAATTTATCATTTTTTGCAATCATTTCATTTTTTTTTTTGGGCAAAGTCCGCTATAATTGAAGTAAGTCAGTATTGCATGCATTATTGAAATGCAGAATAATTTAATGCTTACTTCAGGGAATAGAAACGATAAATTTATAATTTTAATTCCTTTTTTAAAATTCTGACTAATTACTATGAATTAGCTAAAAGATCTGTTTTGCTATTTTATTCCATAATGCAATTAAAGGATCTGAATTTCTTAAAATTAAAATTGTTGTCACCTTTTACAACTTCACTGCTGAACTTTATAAAATATGTTTATTGTAGAGATCATAAAAAGAACAATTTAACTTTCATCTCTTTAGAAAGTTGTACTAAAAAGGTCAAGAAGTTGTCCACGGCTTGGATTGAAATTATGTTACAATACAGAAATCGAAAATGGTACTGATATATTTATTGGAGAGGTTAGTCAGAAAATTTACTTTAAAATGAATTTGCACATTTCCACTACTTGTTTTCAGTGTGCTTTGTTATAAATATTCATTTTAGTAAATTAATGAAAAAAGAATGATTTCAATCACATTAAATGCACAAATATTTTGTCTTAATGACTAAAGTAAAAAATGCTCTTAACAAAAAATGAAAAATAAACAAAAAGTCAGTTTCTTATAGATCATTGCAAAGGGTCTCAATTAAAATTAAAAGTAAAGTAAAAGTTGTAGATTGAGTGTGGCAGTATTGCTGATCTTGATGGACGTCTAAAACTTGGCGATCAAATATTGCAGGTTTCAAGATAATCATTCTCTTTTTGAGAAGAAATAAGAATAAAGAAATGGAAATTTCATGTGTTTCCAAATTTATTCTATGAAATGTATAAAATTTAAATCTGATTTGTAACATTTATACCACTGCTAGGTAAATGGTGAAGCAATATATGGTCCTAATAGTGCAAAAGAGCAATTTCGTTGTAGTGGTGATCAAGTTTCTTTGCTGCTTGCTCGTTCAGTACATGTAAGCATTCTTTTTTTCTTATTTATATTTTATTATGTTTTATTTTTAAAGTCATATGTTTAGCAATTAAGTAATTACTAAAATAAAATAAAAATAATCAATTCTAGCTAGCAAATTTTATGATTTTTAGAATGAATTCGAGCTGGTAATGGAAGCATCTGGTGTAGGTTTAAATACTGAAGATAAAGGTGTACTTACCGATGTAAATTCCAGCAATTCAACCTTAGAAAAGGTTGCTTGAGTCAATTTCACTGCAATTTTAATTAAAATAATAATTTTTAGGATTATAAAAGTACACAACATGAAAACGTGTTTCAAAATTTACAGTAATTTTTTAACAACTTAAAATTCTTTCGGCAAACCAAACTAAAATTACCTTTTTAAAGTATAGAAAAACTTGATGCAATCATATTTAAAGAGTAACATTTATACCTTATTTTACAGTACTGCGCGGTTCTCACGCATTCATCTTTCCTTTTTATCAAAACAGATTTGAATAATATGTAATGTCTGGTTGTTGAATTTGTGTTTTAATGAAATAATATAATATTTTGCGAATTTTCAGTAATTTTTATGTCTATTACACTATATGCATTATTTATCTGATTCTATTTTAGGATTCTGGTTTATCAAGAATGACGGATTCTGATCTGGAACTGTTACCCCCTCCGATTTTAAGTAGCTTGAATCAGTCTACTGAATCATTAATCGATTTACCAGTGATGACTGATCAAAGGTTGAAAAGGTAACTGTTCCTACTTGTAATAGTCAGTCTGTATTTATGTGAATTAAAGAAGCTGAAACGATTGTACACTGCTTTTAAGTCCGATTTTTCCTGGACTGTATGTTCTAAAAATTTATGACTTTGTATTTGTTGCATTTCAAAAACCTATTACTTTTACAAATTCATTTGTTGATAGGTGTGTTAGTGAAAACTCCTTAGAACGGGAATTAGCGTCGTTGCATCGAGAGATGGAAACAATACGCTTGGAGTGTGATAGGTTAATTTCAAAACACACTGATAACGAACGTGATTTTGCGAAAGTAATCTTTATATTTATTTGCTAAGCAAACTACTACTATCTGCCAATTAATTATTGAGATTCTTTATCACTTACTGAAGTCTGCATTAACTTCGTGAAGTTCTGTTATATGCTTTTTTTTCAATTAAAAATTCAAAGCTAGAAAAATCATAGAAACATTGAGCTTAGCTTTTAAGAAGGTTATGAAGTATCATTTGTGCTAATAATTTTAGATGTCACAAATTGAAACTAATGGAGGTAGTAACGTATCTGATGTGAAAATTGATGGTAAAGGAAGATTAGAAGACACATCAAGTGCATACAATACTGGTGAGTCCTGCCGCAGCACTCCACTAAAACCTGATGCCTTAGTTCAGATCAAGAAGTAAGTCTAAACTTCATTTCATGTGTTTATTGTGTTGAATATAATTCAGTGAATTACCACTAATTCTGTTCCAACATGGCTTACATAATGCATATAATATAAGGCATATGAGTTTTGCTTCAATTTTGTACTCATTTACAGAAATTTGAGAATAGGTCATGAAATTTTTTGAAATCATTTAAAACTTTCAGGGACAGCAAAATTGTTCATCCTAACTACACAGTTCCTAAATTTGCCGAGGACATGACCCGATGTATGGTTTTACAAAAACCATCAACTTCCCAAATTCCGCAAGTTAAATTTAGGTAATAATCACTGATACTTTTACTGAAGCAAAAATGGCTTAAATAGAGCGAATTTTTGGTATGACAATTATACAGCAACGAACTTGATATTCTTTAGTGAGTTTCGTTGTTATTTTAACAGTTATTTAGATTTCGTTAATAAAATTTGACAGGTTACCACAGTATTCGGTTGTTTTACGGGAATGGGGAAAAAAAGAATCTAAAGTAATACAAGCTGATAACGATCAACAAGCAGTAGCAAGTAATAATGGGAAAAAAGTCAAAACTCAAGGGATGCTTAGCGAAACCCGCAAAGCCGATAAGTAGGAATCTAAATTTAGTTTTTTTTAACACTTTCGCATTATTATTTATATCAGTAAATAAGGAATAACTAACTAGTGCACTAAATAATATGCAAAAAAGTTTCAGAACTACAGAATTTCTTGCCTGCTTTGGGCATTAAAGCCAATAAATCCTTATAATTCATGCATTATTTGAACCCGAATAACTATGATATTTAGTAATGCGTTTTATATTTCAATAGATCTCTACTTCAAGGTATACTGATTAGCGATGAAAAAAAAAGCTTTGCAAAAAAATTAAAATTGATTTTTTTTACAAAACACTTTTTGAATCAGATAATATTAATTTTGAAAAGAATCGAACGAATGAAGGATACATAAAAGCTTTTTTGAAGTAACAAAGCTGGTATTACAATGTACACGAAGCCTCAGAAATTAGCCGAAACGATTGCACTCCAACAACGATTGCTACGTGAAGCAATGGTTGAACAAGCCCATATGCTGAGGGCATCATCAGCTAATGTAACTGGTACTTGTAATTCGAAAAGTGATCAAAATGCAATTAGAAATCAAACTAAGGAACAATACCAAAATGTTAAAGCTCGTGAAACATGCGAATGGAAGGTATGTAACTAATTCTTAGTCATTAAATATTATCCAAAATACGTATAATGTGAAGCTTTTTACTCTTAATTCATCTTTGAATTGTGCAGTTCTACCTCAAATTCATTTTAGCATTCAACATATAATTTGATTTGACAGCTTCCCATCTTGGTATTAAGATATAAATAACTTTGAAACTAATGACATTTGACGATAATTTTCAATTTTTACTCACACTTCAGTCTCATATAAGATTTAAAAAAATGTATCTACCAAACGCGGTAATTTTTCACAGAACATGAGTAATATCTAGAACAGAAACTAGCTAAAACATAACTCTTATCTATGCTTAATGACAGTGTAGTTTCATAAAAGTCGTAATGCTTCACAACCAAATTTATCGTTGCCAGATATATAGAGAAGTTAAGATATAAATCTGAACACTACTTATGCTTACAAAACTACAATGTTTTTAGATTAAAAGGCGAGCGGATGGAAGTCGATATATTACAAAGAAACCAATTCGAAATAAATTACTTAAAGAACGAGAAGAGCAACTAAACAAGGTAACTTGTTTTGCGCAGTTTTAAATCCAAAATAAAAAACAATTTTCTTCTACCTATCTTTTCTTAGTATTTATGGAAATTATATTATACTTAATATAACTTTTAGGAACGGATAGGTGTAAGTACAGATGATGACGCGATGAGTGAGCTGAAGACTGGTCGATTTTGGACTAGAGAAGAACGTAAAAAACAGTGGGAGCGAGCTAAACAGAGGAAATTAAGGCATCATCAGTTGATGGCTCAACGAATTCAGCAACCATCAGATCAGGTATTATTATGCTTGTATTTATATAAAGCAAAAGTAATGGAGATACTTGTATAATCTCAATTAAACCCAATAAACTGCGCATTTTCTACCAACTTCATAATTTCGTTAAAAATTTTCCAAAAACTGAAATATACTTGGAGTATTCGTCTTCATTCTCAAATTTGTCTCATTTATTTTCAGTTAATTGTACAACTATCAAAGAAAAAAATGATGCGTCGGAAAGGTAACCGCTTACTGGATAAATTCACTACCATTCAAGAGTTCATGGCTCACGGAAATCGTGATATTTCAAGTCGATCCATCGATGGAATATTATCTGTCACTACTGTGTGAAGCCTGTGCATAAAGAATTGACATCATGTTCTATGTTTTTACAATGATATTTAAATTTATTACATTAAAAAAATCCAATAAATTGAAAAGCTAACCCATTGACTTTTATTATTACAACTTTTTTCTCTACATTTATGTGAACTGAATAAACATTCCAGACATCTTACGTCAATAATATCAAGTCTAGTTTTTCAAAAATCCATAAAAGTACAAATCAAATACAAATATGCAGATATTACTAGTACTCTCATTAATAAGACGGAAAAAAAATACGAGGATACAATCAAAAAAGAAAAAAACAAAACAAAAAAACCTGTTGTCTGAAATCAGCTAGTTCCCTGAAATGAGTAGTTTTGTATACGAACATGTACTAAGTCACCAAAAAGTTTTTACCAAAGTCTAGGCAAATGAAATTGAAAAAACAAGTACTAGTCCGCATTACTAAAAAAATTGTATGATGACGTAGTGTTGGTTAATTTTAAGTTTAGAGTGATTATCAAAGAAAACGTGAAATCTATGCAACATTCGAAATCTGATAGTAAAAAAAACAACTGCTCTAAATGTTGCATGTGCAACAAGTGCTTTAAAAGACTAATCTTAATCTTTCATCCAACACTACGTCGGCAGCATCAACTGAAAATTTAGAAACCTAGAGACAATTTAAAAGCGGTTTGCGACAAAAAATATGGCGGACAAGAAGAGTTTGTAGAAACTGGCTAGAAATGAATTCATAAAAATATTCCTGAAAAAATGACGTAAAACCCGACAATAGATGACATGAAAAAAGAAATTCCTGATAATCATTAAGATCCAAAAACTTTCTACATGCACGTAAATTATAATGCAATAAAACCATTTTAGCTGATCGAAAATGATACTCAAATTTCGTCAATTATGCTCGAAACCTGAGCCTTTTATAATCAAAAGTCTTTGCGCTTCTTTCGAAGCAATGTAAAATTGCGTCCATGACTTTGTACAAAACGAAAAAACAGTTTCGAAAATGTTTTACGAACTTTCAAAGTATAGTAACAAACGCACCCGTTTCTAAGAACTACAAACGACTGAAATTGGGTGGCATGCACTGAGAAGATTAAACCCAAGAAATGAAGTTCCTGACAAAAAAGTAAGATCAAGTGATCAGATAAAAGATTGAAATGTTAGAAAATATGGACAACTCATTTAAGTGAAATCCATACTGGCTTGTTGATGGTAAGAACTACCTGCAGCTACTTGATTATGACTATCTGGCGAAAAATTCGCTTGATTCCACAGTATATCTGGTGACAACTGATTAGTTAAGCTTGCAGATGGCGAAGGCCTACCCCCTGCTGCTGCTGATATCATAGGATCATCCTAAAACACCAAAATAATTGTTAAATAAAGAAGACTAACGTAGATTAGGATGAACAGCAAGTAGAGAAAAAACGAAGTGAGAAAAAATGACTTGGACGGAAAAGTAAGATGAAATGAATACAACGTGAACTAAAAAATACCTGCAATATAGTACGCATCGAATTCAGGTCATCCATAATAAGATCTGGGAATCCTTGTTGCGAATTAAGGGAAGAAGTAGCTGCTTGAGCATATGCACTAGCAGAATATGGATCGTCGGTTGCACTGAAATTGTTTATTAAAAAAATCGTCAGGAACAATATCTACTTTAGGAACAATATTGGTTTAGATAAGTACCTCAAAAAAGAACTGCTTTCTTGATGACTGATACTGGATACAGGACTGTTAATTGATATCGATGCCGTTGTGTCTGTTAGCTGTGATACAAATCCAGCCGAATTCTGAGATTTTAGCAATTAATAACAATTTCTTACCTCCACTTCATATATTTTTCTTTATTCTTGAAAGTGCCAATCAGTCTATTAATGATGATGTACTTGTGAAAATGAACTCTAGAAATTTTTTGCTAAATTACAAAAATTTTAAAATAAAAAAAGTCATAGCATCTTGCCATGACATTCAGGATGGTAACTGAAAACTTACAATACAGTTTGATGACGTATGAGATGGAGAAGGAGGAAACTCATCAAAAGGCTCTTGTTTGATAGATCGTCTATCGTTCGAAAATGATGACAGAGGTATAGGCGGCAAATTTACTGCAGAAGGTGGTACAGCAATACCATTTTTTTGTAAGTGATTTTCCAGTTCCTGCAATTTACATAAAATTGACTTTCATAACATAATTATGAGACAGAAAACAACCGTTCATGTACAATTACAGATTTGAAATTGAGAGATCTTCACTATACAGTAAAAACTAGGTAAAAAAATTTATACAAAGTAATCTATGCATCTTTAAGCAAGTAACATTTTAAAAAATATTGGTAGCAAAACAGAAAATCAATGCAATTCGTAAATTAAAAAAAATTTCATAATCTGCTGACTTTAACTCTGTCAGCATACATTTGAGCTGCTTGTTGTAACCTGGCTTGGTACTGCTGCTGTCGTAACATCAACTCACGATCCTTTTGTAACTGCCGAATATAATCACAAGAAGCTTTCAATATAGTTCCTTTATTTAATTTCAGTTCCCTGGAATTTAGAAGCACGCTTTTGGAAAAAATTTGGTTCAATTCACATGAAAATTCAAACAGAGCCATGAGAACTTTCTGATTATTACATGAGAAACGGTCTAGTAACAAATACAAAAATAATTACTCAGACGATGTCTTCGGAAGCATAAGTCCCAATTCCTTGATACGATCATTTATATTATACCTTCTTCTTCGTTCAACTGCAATAATAATCTGTAAAACTGTACAAAAACAAATCAGTGATATATAGGATTCGTATTAAAACATCACTTTCACGAAAAAATTTTTTAACTCCTTAAAAATAAAGAGCAATGGAAAGATCAACAAATGTATCTGCAATAACTGAATTATAACAATCTTTTTCATAAAAACTCTATTTGACCTATCCATGATTTTAATTCTAATATAAAAATCTAGAAAAACTGTAAGCTTACTCATATTATGTATATCTTTTTTTCTCCTTTCCCGATAAAAATCTTGGTCACTGCCAATTTCTTGGCTGACATTCCGCACCAGTGTTTCCATATCCAAACTACTGGCCGGAGCGCTTGATGACACTCTTTGGCGACAATTTGAGCCAACAATCGATATAGAACTTATTGACGATATACTCTGACCCGAATCAACTAAAAACAATCACTTTCCATAATTCAAAGAATAATCAAAAAACTCATTATCACTACTAAGTTACGTCTACTAAAGAAATTAAGAGTGTGAGCTTTCATAACCTGATACAAAAAATGAGAAGTCTAATTTCAGCTGTTACCAAAGGCTTCGAAAAAAACTGAAATGAGGGTTCTGTTTTCTTACATGAATTAGTTGCACCATGAATTGATCGGCCTTTTGAAATTGTTGTATTTCGCAATGCAGAAGTGGAAGTTGTTAAACCATCGGCGCAACCGTATGCTACTGGAAGCTGAAAAAAAATTAATATAAATGAGGTGAAAAACAGAAACAAATAATAGAGTGAAAAGTTGTACTGTAACAATAAGAATTGATGTAAACAAAAGAAATGAACAATCAAAAATAACAAAATTGAGAATTAAAAAATTTGTCACAAAAAAAATTCGATTCTATGGCTGATTTCCCAAATCAGAATGTCTCTTGCATTCATTTAAAGCATAAAATGAAGGCTTGCTTTGGTTAATGTCAACATCTATCAAAAAGTAATAAAATAAACCGTTTGTGCTTTGGTAGCGCCTAGCTCTCGTAGTGCCATCTGGTCGCCTCGTAACGAAAATATTTCGTCAACTATGTAATCATCCAGCTTAATATATATTTATATAAAATGAAGACGTTAAACAGTCAACTTTATAATAATTATTTTAGCGCTAGGTAGCACATGACATATTATGAAGATATGATCAAATATGTTAAAGAATTTAAAAAATAAAATTAGACAAAAGTTGCAAATCTTGAAAAAAAATTCTTGAATAAAACCTATCATCAGGTCAAAATGTTAAAGGAATGTGTCTGAGATTTTATTACATATAAGTAGAGGATAATAATATGTGTCAAGCTTAGATTCTACATATTCTTAATATATCAGAGCTGTTTTACTTAACATTTTGATCTGATGATAGGTCTTGAGTAGCTCTCAGTGCTTGCAAATGTAAATGTTTTACTTACATTGCAAGCAATGAGAGCTACAAAAGGTCAACTGTAATGCAGCATAAAAGACAGTAACCAAAATTTCAGCAAAGTTAATACAGAGAATTGCTGAAAAGAATAAAATGCTAAAAATTAGAATACAAAATGCATAATACATACTGGAAAAAGATGACTGTGCAATGGCAGAGAGCAACGGAATAAAGTGTAACTTGTCAATGAATTACATTTGTGAAGAGGTATTCATGCTTTATAAAAAATAATTCAAGAAATATGCATAAATTAAGCAGTTATGCAACATTAGTGCACTTTGATGAGTGCAGTATTTGTATTTGTATTTGTATTTGCTGATTTCAGTATTAACTGATATTAATCGTCTTCACACTAGTATGACGCCATAATAGCAATGAAATAAGACTTATCAGTATAATCACATTACTATGACTAAGAAAGTGAATATATGACAGAAAATTGAGATGCAATAAAATGATTCTGAGTTTATTATTGAAGTAGAAGAGATTAAAAAATGTAGTGAGATTAATTTCAGAAGGCTGTTTGAAAATAAAGAAAGTAAGTAATAAATGGTAAATTTTTAGCGTAATTATAAATATATAATAAGTATTATGTAGAGTAAATGGAGTCATATTGAATCATTGATTGACATATTGAATAATATAGAAGGAATGAGTGCAAGAAACAAGCTAGACACAGATGATAATGATGACGATGACGATAGTAGTAATATAGCAGAAGCCAAAAGTATTAGCAGGAAATGACAAGAAAGTGACACAACATGTATGTATCGATTTGCCGAGGTAACATCTTGAGTCGAATAAAGACAGTGAAGAGTGTTTTAGGAGCATTACCGGATTTCTCGATCGTAAAATAGATTGATCGATGGGTATACTAATTGTATTTAACACTGAGAAGGAGAAAGTAGCGGCTGATTACTAGAAATCAAGAAAAAAAAAGCAATACTATTATTATTGTTATAATTATTAATTATTAATAATAATTATTATTGTTATTATTATTATTCTTATTATTATTGTTACTTTACAATTGTATGAAACTAAATGAAAGACAATATTGGAGGAGATGAGTATCAGCAATTAATTGTAATGCGCGATTATCTATCTGTATCTACATCATCTATTTATTAAATTTATTGCATTTGAAAATATCAAATCAAAAGAAAAGTTACTCATAACTGCAACTTCACATAGGCAGTTTGTCACTCTAAGCTACATTAGGTATATTAATATCAAGAAAGAAACAAATAAAGAAATGATCTCACACATAATTATAAATTGAGCAACTATAAAATGCATAATGCCCAAGAAAACTAAATGCTATAATGCTTATAACAAACAGTTACTTCATAGAAAGTATGTAATCATACACACTTTTTTATATTTGACTCATAAAGCTATGCATAATTTTTGTATACTTGTATTCGCGGTAGATAGTTAGTCATTCACAATAAATAATGAAATCTGTTACTGCTGACAAAAACTATGCAAATAATCTAATAGAAAATATTTATGCGGAAGAGCTTGAAACTGAAAATAACATTAAAAATATTTTTAGAATAACTTTCTCATCACATATATATATGTATATGTATATGTGATATATATATATGTATTTGTAGGTTTGACACCTCCACTATGAAATAAAACTTTTGGAAAATAAGAGGGAACCAAAAAACCGTAATAAACAAAAATCATTTCTCATTCTCCGCACTTTTAGAAAGTAACAGGGAACCCATAAGTACATGTTTACAATGCAACAGCACCTATAACGAAAATATATTATCAATGAATCACTGAATTTTATCATTGTTGCAAACAAATATATTCACTACATTAGGAAAAAAGTGAAAGTCAATCACACAAAGAATTTACGAATATCCATCTTTCAACATAAGCATATTAAAATTCCTGAGATCAGTAGGAACAAAAAATTACAACATATAAAAATTTGGAGATCAATTATTCAGATACTAATTAATGAGCAATTATGTGAATTAATCACATTGCAACGAATTGGCGATATATTGGCAAACAATTCGTTTAGCTTTTTTGCTAACTAAATGCTTTATACACGTCTTTTGTTGTAATCAAAGAATAAGTTGTAATCACTCGACCTTACTAATCCCTCGTTCTGTATTTGGTGACTAAATATGAGCTAGCAAAAAAAATTAAGATATTTGGATGCTGAGTATAATGAAAACTGAAGTTTTATTAATTAAATGTTGATTATTCTAATTAATGCGAGAAAAATATCAAAAAAAATCTCAATCTCATAAATAAAACTAGAAAAGCTTGATCATTCCATTCTAACTTGTTGATGTTACTTTACGTTTATTAAGATCGAAAATGAAGAGTGAACTTTTGATATGACTATATTTATCACATTTCAATCATAATAAGCCATAAATTTTTGAAATTATGTAACGTAACGAATGATATTTGTTTAGATAAATGAAAACAAACTCAACTATACTCGAAGTAAATGAAAGCGACACACAGCCATAATAATACATTTCTCTTTTCTTCCACTTCCAAACTTTTTAAAGTAAAAAGATCTTGTTATCCAAATGCCGCAATAGAATTGGTTTTCAGCATGCGTATAAATGATGAATGATAAATGATGCAGCATTATTTGACACGAGGATTATAAAAAATACTAATACGTTTAAATGGAAAGCAGACTATCAATTCATGCTAGTAGCACCCTCAGAAAAAATACATTTTAATGGACAAATTAACATTTGATAAGTCAGACGCATTGATTGTTTTTTCAGGCAAAATAATGCGAGTCTTGTTCATATTCACATCCATTTTGTGGCAATATTAATAATCACAAACAATAAATGGCACTTTTTCCGCTTTACTCATAATAACTGTACACGCAATTACATTTTTGCATGTATTAAAGGCAAGCATTTAGACATATACGCACTTCCAAATGGAACTATCTACTCGAAGATGAGTGCACACACATATATCCACGCATAAATACACATACAGACTCTCACACACACACACTCATAAACACACATCCTCACATCTCGCGCACATTCCAAAAAATTGTTTAAAAAACAAAGATGTCTTACTACAAGCACCAGCCTTTACACACACCTTTTGTTATTTACAAAGACTAAGTTTTATCAATCGACCTTGCTGCAATGACCTTTGTACTTTATCAGAAAATAGGGTTGCAAATAGCTTGAATCTTGTAGACTAGTAAATTATTTATTTCAATTCAATGTAATTTTTTTTTCAATTCAGTATATTCTCATTATTTTTGAGATTTATATGATAATAAATATGCAGTAGACATCAATAGTTTACAATACATTCCTGTCAACTAATTAGTGATACCAATTTTATGCTCAAAGAAAAAAGTGATTAAAAATGATAAACCATATTGAAGCTACACAGGAAAAAAAGCAAAGAATGAATGAAATTCTTGAACACATTGATTCTTTAAAAATCATCAATTTATTTGAGCAACAAATTTCTTTGATAATTAACTCAACGGTACAATAACAAGCCAACTGTGAGGGATATGCAATATGCAATAGCAAAAAAATTAGTAAACCTCACAAGAAAATTCATTAAGTTACAACTAAACTACTCAATGAACCAAATTGCGCCAAAATGAGAATGCAACATATCATTATCTATAATCAGTTCACAAATTCATTATTATACTTCCAGCAAATAAATCTGCTCCAAATTATTTCTCTCATAACGATTACTGATAAGGGCCTTGAAAGAGGGATACATGCTGATTACATAGAGAAAAACTATGAAGATTGCAAAAAACATAGCATGAATTTTTGAAGTAAGAAATACTGAAAATCTATTCCGGTATGCATATAAATTTCTAGTGTTTTGCCAATTGAGCACAACACGAAATGAACTCTTAAATACACACCAGTACATAATTATTATACATACAGTCAAAAGTAAACATGACGAGAATGGATGTAATACAGAATTGTTGCTACCATAATTAACTGTACAAAAAAAATGAGCTGAGGAACGAAGAGTGAGTTCTTTCTCCCGTCAAATATTAAAATTAGTGATAGTATTCTAAGCACTTACTAATAGTCTGAGAATTAACTTTTTTACAAAGAATAAGTACACTCACTGAAAACATATTAAGATAGAAAGAAGCTAATAGATAGTTTTTATTATTTGTTGCAACAACAACAAACCTAATAAACTGCAAGTTTGAGTAAGTGAATAAATAAGTATAGGTAATTAGCAGTAGGACTAGCAGTACTCTGTACAACATGAAAAATAAAAAAATAAAGACAAGAAAAAAGTAAACAAGGCTACAAATCATTCTGCTACCTCCTTCAATTCACCCTCACAATTTGCAATCCACCTACTTTTAACTTTTATTATGCTTACTGCTACCTATATTCTACCCTACTACTATTGCTATTACTACCACTACTATGAGTATACCACAACAACTTACTGCTGATGTGACAAGCCAACCCAAACAACTATTTCCTCTTCTACTCCAACCAATCCCTATTTTACTTTACTCTTCCTCTTGCATTGATCGTTGATCAGTAACGCATTAAAATAAACTAAACTTGGCGTTAGTCCAAGCCAATGTTTCTTTTTTTGCATCCATAAAAACATCTCATTGATTCCCGTATAAAAATCGTAAACATATTTGTTATTTTCATATAAAATCTCTGCAATAATTAGATTTTTAAATGAAAAAGTTACAGACATCATAGCTCTTAGCTTCATAAAATATCATCTTCAGAATGCATAATTTATTATCACGAATCTAAAGATTATATACAATAACTAGGAATTTGTATACATAATAAATGCGAGCATCATATTTATTTGAAATTTATGCAATGTTGGTGTCACAAGTTAAGCCAAATAACTATCTCCCTTCTTTACTACTTGAAATTAACACATGGATTGTGAAAAATTTTTGTACAACATGCATATTTTTTTTAAATAATACATGAAATGGCAATTAGTGAACAGTTTGAATGCAACAGTGACTAGATTAATAGTTCAGCAAATATAGAACTGCACCCACTGGTAAGAATAATTAATATCAGTGGGATATCTCAAGTAATCTTTAAAAATGGTGTGCATCTTTTATGAATTTCGATTAATTTTATAGTGTTAGAATCTGAAATGCACTCTCATCTCATAATGAAATTACTTGTTAATATTATCGAATAGGATTACTATCTAACTCTTTACTACAAGTAAAATTAGCATGCTATCATCGCATGAAAATGCAATTTCGGTTATACGTTTTACACTGTTGCATTTGTAAACCTTTTGAACTGTAACACATTGAGAGAAATAGCATGTACAGAAGAATATAAGAGTGATTAATATTAAGATTATTATAGAATAAGAAAAGACATTCAGACAAGCAATGGTAAAATAGTATTTGATGCAGCTCATCTTTGTAACACTTTTATAATTAATCAAATTACATCAGATTAAATTAAATCTCATCTCACTGATGCATCATTCTACGGCATTCTCGCTCACAAGGTATCACCATCTAACTCATCCATGAAAGTGTTTGTGTGTATGCATGCATGTGTGTGCGAAAGTTGTGTTAACCTTTTGGGAATCAAAGATAACACAAATTTGTCCTCAAAACAACTTTAAGAGTTAGATTACCTTATCATAATAATCATTATTTTTGCTTCTTTCAATTTCAACAAACAAACTTTTTTTCCATTACTTCATTGACTGACTTCTCAGTTTCTTATTATTTTTTCATTCTTGCGCTTGCTAATCTTTTCTCTCACAATTCCTCACTCTTCATGTCATCCCATCACACCTAACTATTTATTCATTTCTTAATTTCTTTTTTTCATTTTCTCGTTTGTAATGTTTTTTATTGCAAGTGAAAATAGTGATAGAAAAATATGCAAATTAACTTATTGACATGAATGATGTGTTGTTATTATGCTTCAAAAGGATGTGCTGTGGTAGTAAATATGAGAGTTTGCAGTATTCTCACTCTAATGCTCATATTAACAACGACTAAAATTTCTGCGCAAACAATTATTTGATTCATAAAAAACTAACTTATTGTTCACTTGCAAGCAATTAATTAGAAAGTGCTTCCGAATCAACAGTATCAATTTCATTCAAAGTCATAATATAATGAAGTTGATAATGTGGCAGAAAATTGCATACACAATAAGCTATTTTTTAATAATTACAAATCGCATTTTAGGATAAAAGCATTCTAAATCGAAATCGACTTGTCATGAAGATTTTTCATTTGCTATGCAGATTGAATATTCAGAAGTTTTTATGTAAGAAAATCTTCTTAATTTTATAAGTAGATATCTTCTGCAAATTATGAGCATTTATAATAAAACTGACAGGTCCTTGACATGACTACGAATTGCGTTGATAGAAGTGTCACAAAACGTCCAAATTTTTTATCGCAAGATTTATACGTTGTTAGTTTCTCTGTTTCATTTCTATTTTTTGTATGTTCATGTCGACTGCAAACTTTGATCACGTGAATCTGAAATTTGATTCACGTGAAACATCGAAATCTTTTCAATAAGTTTAAATTCGTTTGCATGTATGTTGAAAAATCTATGCTTTAGTTTTTCTCTTCCAACAAAATAGCAATGTCACGCGTAAGAGTTTTTTTCTTGGAACGAAATAGCAATTTTTACACATTTCAAAGATGCTTACACTATTTACTGCGAACTCGTTTCGAAGGCAACTCAATTTATTAAGCTTTCAATTTCTTATAGCTAATGAAGTAGTAATTTAAAGGGTCATTTACCTTTTTTTTTTGGAAAAATCCAATGAATATGTGTTATATTGTAAACATCGTTGAAATGTTTGTTTTTAGCTAATCACTTCAATTTTTAAAAAATAAACATAATTTAAGTTTCAAGTAGCGATGATTAATACATTTTCAAATCAAAGCAAATTAAAAATTTCTGCCCATAATTACGCTAATCACTATGATAATGGATATAATTCATTGTATCCTTGGAAGAAGCGATTCAAGAAGTAGAAAAGCAAATGATTAGCAAGACTACCAAAGCAGAAAATCTAAAATTATGAAGCCGAATTCCCAAGCAGTTATAAGTAGCTCAATATATTGAAGAGTATCTGGCTAGAATTAGTATGCGGAATCACGAAGATCTGTAACGATTTTAGTGAAATCTAAACTTGATGATTGTTTTTAATGTTATCATCACAGTGTAACTAGTTTGACATTTTCTCAATAATAAATTTTCCATTCATTGTATTCCTTATTTATGTAGGAAATGACTGTTAATGCGACAGTTAATGACAGGATTACAAAAGTATCTCAACATCCTCTGCCACCAGTTGTTATTCAATAGCTCTGGTTTGTCAGACAAGTCTGAGTTTTGTGCAATGTGTAAAGTTTCATACATTAAATTCATTAAAAAGTAATAAAAGTTGTTTTATGATTCTCTGCAAAGAAAATCAGTTACAGAAAGCGATGGAAATGGTTTGCCGAAACTTCTCAACTACCATGTTTACTCAAAGCCACAAATTATCGTTACTCTTTTAAGCAGACATTTGCTCATTGTTTCAGCAAAGTTAACACTCACTGAAAACTTAATTATCTACAAATGTCTGTAAGAACGCTTCAGACAGAATTAAAAGAACCATAACTGTTAGTTAGAACGCTACCTTTCTATGTCAATTAATTGCTCTTTACCTCGGTCAGGGATAGCATAAAATCGTCTAATTGTAATAACACTGGTAGAAGTCTTGATGTATCGACTCAGACATCATGAAGGATAATGCATTTGAAAATGTGATACTAAGTGCAAGTTCTTTTAGTTAAAAATTTTGATTTAAAAAATTGAATGTGATAAAATTTTAATTGTAGCCTGCAATTAACATCTGTGTGAATAATAGCAATATACATTAAGGATGTTTCGCTCTGACAAGCACATACGTCTACTTATTAGCAAGTATTTAATGATTAGTGAGTACTTTATCAGTTTCCACTATTAAAAATATTATTTGACTGACATTCCTTTTGTTTCACGTATCTCAGCAATATTTACAATCATAAACAAAATAATTTCAAATTGAAGTGAAAAATTCTTTATGAAAATTGACAAGCATTTTTGCAGTGTTAGTTTTTAGATCTGATAAATAATGAAAAAAATATCTGTAATTTCTGGATGACCTTTGTACATTTTAGCAGATAATAACATTCATTAAGCTCAAGTAATCGATTATGGAGGTAATCTAATACCTATGACATCGTTTATAGCTAGCTATACATTATGTCAAACAATTATATCACATCGAGCACTAATCACTTTAAATGCTACAAATAATCAGAATGTCTCAAACTAGCAAGTTATTTGCAGATTCGTTACTTTAGGTTTCGTAAAAAATTTTGTTATTTTTAATCATTTCTCTGTAGCTTTAATTTAGCTGAGTTTTCACTTTTGCTCTAAATTCACGAAATGATCTTTAAAAGTTTTTTGTGAGCATTTAATTGTGAGAACAACAAAATTTTTCTCTGCAAAACATGCAAACTGGTGTGATTGCAAGGGAAAGAGGTAAGTAAGATCGACTTACCTGTTTTTCTCTCTTAAGCAAACACAATTGATCTGCTGCTAGTAGAAAGGATTAACACAGAGGATGAGATCAGAACATACTGCTGCTTGCAAGTAGTGGAAAAGTGTGGAGAAGCTGAAAATTTCGCGGATCTGCTTCAGTTTTCGTGTTTCGAACTTCTCAAGCGCACTTTAGGTCGATGCAAGCTGTAGTTCCATTTCTTAATATATGTCTTCACTTCAAAGCTATCATTTTTCCATATGCTTCACATATTATTTTTTCTAATATTCCATCTGCTTAAACACCACTCTTCTTGCTCAGTTTTTCAAAAGCTAGGTATTCCTATTTATTCACTTTTTTGGGCAATTTATTTCAGGATATGTTTTCAATACACTGAATTGGCTTCACTTTCAAATACATCGGCAAGAACAATTTTAAAATGGTACTTGTCACTGCCACTATTGTTCAGTTCAATTAAAACAAGTATAATACGAGAAGAGTACCTCTAATTATGGCAAGTTGCAGTCACGAAGTACCACCATTGAAATTCATCGCTACACGGTTTATTGCGCTCACAGTATTCCAGGTTAAAATTCAAATTTGTGCCGTCTGTATGAAATTAGTTGATAATTTCAAAAATACACTCAAATCACAGATTACAGAATTACTAAGCATAAGAAAAAGATTAGGAATGATTGCTTGCTTAGGCAACTGTTTCGCTTCAATCTCGTAAAGTTGGTCAAGGCTTTATTTACAGACTAATGTCCATTGGAGAAAACTGAATGAAGTTATTCAAATTATTCGGAAATGGCTACAAGAAGTAACTTTACCAGCACTAGTGAAAAAGCAGCTGCTATATGGTTTGAGTAATATTTATCGTGAAATTGAGCGCTGGAGTAAGTTAGACTGTTCTGATTTTCTAATAAAAAGTTCATGTTTTATTCTTAAACAATTTCTTGCAAAGAATCTACGCTTTATAATTTTAAAGAATATGGTAAATTTCAGATGAAAAACATGCAGAATTATTTGTTGAAGAGAAAAAGAATGAAAACAATCAGCGTCATCTTTTTCGGGCACATCGCAAAGATCATTTACGCTTATTTTATGGTAGCATCATTTGGAAACAAAATAAGTGAAAATTACTTTTAGTTTTGGCTTCAGTTATTCAATGTAAAAATGTTTGTCAGTTCTGACTTTGCAAAGTGCTCACCAAAGATTCAATATTACTTATTTATTTTACGAAAATTATCATGATTTTCTGTATTTAACGTGACTGATCATATTGACTGGCAATAATCATAATATTCAATGCTATTTGATTATGAATCTTTTGCTGCATTGAAACATTGCTACAAACACGTATGCCATGCCAATTATTGATAATTTGGAGTTAAGGTATGAAATTGATGATCGGAAAACCGCTCTAAGAATTATTTCAATTGATTGTGCTGATTGGCCGCAAATGCAGTTCCAATTAGCCTGCGCATATGCCATCCACCACTTATTGCATGGACAAAATTTTGATAAAATCCGATTGAGAGCATTTGAGTATGATCTACAATTATTACCATTGATCTAGAAAGATCTTATTTTTGGTTCGAATCATTTCCTGAAAAGTCTAGTAGAGAAGTATGCTATAAAGCTGCAAAGAAAATAAAAGTTGAATATCAATCTGTAGATGATGTAGTCAGTGATTAAATTACTGCTATTAAGATAAAATCAGTTATGCATGTCAAGTGCTTAATATTCAGTATTTTAATATTTCGTTCGTTTCTTATTTCTTGATTTTAGAAAAAAATTGTCTGGTCACTGTTTGTATGATTTTTGGTTCGCCTTACTTAGCGGTACAACGCGTGCTTGGGAAAAAATGTTTGAGACCGATGGATTGGCTCCGAAACAAACATTATCACTAGCTTTTCAATTTTCAATTGTACATGGTTATTTTGAGCTTGTTAGTTTTATATGGAATCAAATCACAGACCCCCAAAGGGAATTTATCGGTAATTCTTTCACTTAAACCGCTTAAAAATTTTCATTACTTAAGTAAAGAGTGAGTAATGTTTTACGAGATCACCAGAACTTAGTTAACAAGTTTACGAAAATTTCCCAGTTTTCTTCGCAAAATTTTTATAAATTTTTAACAGGATTTTTGCAATGGCGACGCGTTTGTTTCAAAGCAAGACATCGTGAAGTTCTTCATTTTCTTTGCGAACAACTCTGTGCTATTAATGCTAGTGGTCTTGCTCGGATTACCTGGAATACTTTCTATCAAACACTTCAGAATTCGCTTCAGGTTAGCTCTATCAAGATTTTACTTAGTAGTTGTTTTGTTAATGCCATGATACTGACATATAAAACAAGCAAGTGCTAGTTCCGAGTGAATATAGATGATTTCCAATCTTAAGTTATTCAATTTTTCTGTAGTTTTTAAAAATTGAGTCACCGATAATGAAAATAACCCTTTTTATACCTTCTTGAATCATATTGTCTCGCATAATGTAGCTTCAACTTTTGCAATAAAAAAAAATTCAGGTAAATGATATGAGATTTCGCGAAGATGCTGTGCTAAAGCTGGCATTTCTCCTAGAAAATTGTTGTCCACGTCTTTGTAATGCGATCTTATCCATGGAAAATTTCAAGTTTGTTCTTTTTTTTCCTGTACAAAATCTACTTAAAAACAATCATAATTTTGAAATAAAACATTTTAGAAAATAAAGAGACACACATGAAGAGACCGTATATGAGAACTTAAAAAATAAGGACATGAACATCCAAAATTCTTAATTCCTCGCATACAAATTTTTAGGGCTGTTACAGAAGCGTTCATATATGATCAACATGACGTTTTCACACTGTTCCTGGAATATCTCGGACCTGAACAAATAAAAATGACGCGTGAACAGATTGACCGTATACAAGGCATCAAGAAAAGTGGAATACTGCAGATGCAACGAATTTTGTCACACCAATAAAGATTACTGTAAATCCCGATTTAAACCATAACCAGAAACTGCAACTCGAGTAAGGAACAATGGAACATAGAATCCTTTTTCGTTAGCAAAATTTTGAAAATAAGCGATTATTCTAAATACAACCGATATCAACAGCTAAGAAAGCGACAAATCCACTCCGCAATGTTTCAAGATTCTGCGCTAATGCGTAATACACGCCTCGCTACATTCCTGCTTTGAGTTTGGCTAAGCCTGTTGATTCAATATTCTTGAATGAATCGATATGAGATAAACCTTTACTCCTGTAAATTTGTTTTACTTTTAATACAAGACTACTATATCACTAGAAACCCCAATTCTTGTCTCACCTCTCACTGCAGTGAGAAATGAATTAACAAAAGGATCCAAAACCTTATACTTCAGTGTGTGAAATAATTCTTCATGTCATAAACGTACACTCCTTAAATTTCCTGACGATATGCATAAAAGGCATTTCAGACTAGAATTACTGAAAATAAAACTTAACACATAATAATCTAGTAGCTTTGTGTATACCTATCAGGTATGAATATAAAGAAAAGCATTTATGAGGAATGTTGTTTACTTTATTCCAGCATGGAAGGAAACGAAACAATAAATGCTAAGCATAACAAATGAAGATTTAAAAGTAAAAAAGTTCAGAGCTGGTAACGAATCAATAAAGAAACAAGAACAGAATAAGCGCGAAAGCATCAATTCAAATCGACCAAGTTTATAGAAGTAAACATTCTACAATGAACGAATGAAAATTCATGCAACGCATGTTAACGAATACGGATAGAAATAAAAGCAAGCTATGAAAAAGACAAAAATTTAAATAAAATATTTTCATATATAAACTGCTAGAACAGCAAACGAATTGGGGCAAGAAAGAACGAGACAAGACTAAAGGATGAATGAAGAATAGTATCCAACGCGGCAATCAATCTTGATCTTCAAGTGAGAGATGTGTGATTTTGGTGAAATCAAATTCAGCAGTAGTACCACGGTGAAATATGTCTAATACGTCTTTACAAGTCGTTTCAAAATGTGTAGTTGGATCAAAAGAACGCGAGATGAAAACTTGCGACTCATTACCCATATCGACTGGTTCGTAAACGTCCGAAATATTAACGAATCTGAAAGCTATTGTTATGTCTACCTCTCCAGAATAATCATTTCTAGTCAGTCTTTACATACATTCCATTATCCAAGAAACTTGAAACTCTGCGAACAAACTTTTCAGTAATTGGTCCCAACAACTGCAATCCTGGTAAGATTTCTGCTTCTGGATTATTGGTTTCCACAGTAGTTGAAACCATTGCAATATACCACCCTTTCGGGGTTACCATGTTTGCGTTGGATACCAGAGAAATATAAATATCTATAAAACAGTACAAAAAATTGCAAAAATTTTCAAATTGAGAGTATTCTTGATGACATACAGGATGATCAAAAAATTAAAGTAGATATAGGAAGTACCATAATGACGTCCAACTTGCTTTTGTGGAATGATTATCTGACAACTCTGTGCATCGTTTGTGTTCGGTACTGGATGATTCAAAAGACAAATTGCTCGAATCACCTGTCCAGTTTTCCTCACTTTATCTGGGACGTAAGATGGGTCGCAGTAAACCTGTAAAACTATTATATACTATTCCAAATCACACTCGAGTTGCAAGACATAAATTTACACCTATAAAATACGGATAGCATACCTGTTTACACTTCGCTACATCATTCCCACTTTTAACACCAACAACTTTCCCATTTTCATAAACAAGACAGTCTACGGGTTTATCAAGCATGTACGTCCCTCCATAAATTGCACTCAATCTGAAAAATGAGATGAAATTTAACACTTATTCAGCACTTTAAAACAAAAAATTATACATGAAAAATCTCAGAATAATGACAATATTTCTCACCTAGCAAATCCTTGAGGCAGTTCACCCAGTCCATAAAGAGGATACAGATATGGCGATTTTCCGTATCGAGCCAATGAATCCGAATACAGACGAATTCTTTCAGCAGTTGGCACGAATAATTCATTTTTGTAACTAAAAGAAAAATTTCTTATACTGAGATAAGAAGACTGAAAAATATAACAAATTTCAGAACTTTTGAAACTTACTTGTCATCTCGATACAAAGCCAAAGCATGACCAGTGAAATCAGCAGTATTTTCATCCAAACCAAATTTATCATAGACCTGGAAAGAAAATTAATAAAAAATTAATTTTGGATCCCTTGTTTTTTCTCCTTTATGAAACTTAATTTTGATACTAATTAAAAAAAGAAAATTTTCAAATGCTTAAAATTTCTACAGATTATTCCTTCCTATTTTATAAATTCAAGATATTCCAAACGACCTTTAAATTTTGATATCGTAGTAGGAATTTACAAAATAAGAACACGATGCAATGAAATTTGAATGTATAATTAGAAAAGAACAATAAAACTTCAAAAATTAAAACAACCTGCTGCATTGTATGCACAGTAGGATCAAGACCGTCATATGTAGCTTTATTATTGATGTCAAAGTTTTGCACCCAAACGAGGAATTTTTTAAAACGTCTTTTCTCGAACATTCCCATTAAATCTGAAATAAAATTTAATTTAGCTTGAATGTCACAAAGACATTGTTCGGAATATATGTATTTCAAACTATTACACTTTCCTTTATTAAAACACACAAAGATCCAAATCAAAAATAAAACTACAAACTTGTAGCTAGAGCTTCCATTTCATCAGCAGGAACTTTAAAGATTTTGCCACCTTTGTACACATATGAGCCTTCAATAGATTTGAATTCAAGGTAGCGAGTTACGCCGGTATGAATCAAAAGCTGCAATAAAATAATTTTTAACGGTATTAAACTATGAAATATGAGCACAAATTACAACTTCAGTAATCGAGTATTAGATCATAAGAAAATAATAAACCTTGACAAGTGAGCCATTTGCCATGAGGAATTTTGGAATTAAATCGACATTCCAATCTCGACCTCTACCCATATCCGTCGAAGGCTTTGCATTCGGTCCTAAAAATACGTACTTTATAAAGATAATTCAAGAATTTCTTAGTGTATTGAAGGCATTGGAAACTTCGTAAAAACTGGCTTACCGAGAAATTTTTCATAAAGTTGTTCTAAAGGTGTTATCGAAGCTGATTCCCCACCATAATAATTGTTCCGGTCAATATGCAATATTTTCTTGCCTGACACAGACAGCATTCCAGACAGAATACATTCCTAGAGAAAGACTACGACTACTAATACATTTTCGTAGTTGTTCTCCTTTTAAAAGTGCACACTTGAAAAATTCATGATAAATTGAAAACTAAGCTTTAAAAATATCCAATACCTTCAATCCTGTCCCAAGGACAATAGCATCGTATTCCTCATCCATGATGATACAAAATTCACCTGCAACAAATAAAATAGTCATAGATCTGATGTGAACGCACTTCATGGGTTCCTAGAACTCATTACGATATCCATATTCAAAAGCTCAATAATACAGTTATCCCAATGATCCTAGACGTAATCACCTTGATATCCTTAAAAAACCACAAATATATGAAAAATTCGTCACACTTACTGTCACTGCTTCAAACTAATGTCATCAGTTTTTTTTGCAATGTAATAACCACTTTTGTTATATATTATTTGAACAACCTGAACATATCATTCTAAATATAACTGCTTGCAACTGGATGATTATTACATTGCAAAAAATGAAAAAAAAATCTCTGAAAAAAATCTTTTCCCAAGCATCTGAAATTTAATTTTACTGAATAAAAAATTAAATAAACAAATAAACTCTGGTAAGACAGCCATAAATTCAAAAATAACATTCAGCGCACAATGCTTTATTTGTGAGTTTTCGCATCACCAGATCTATGAATAATTAATATTGAAACAATTATCGACATTCAATTAACTATCTAATCCATGACCTATGCATATGCATCGTTATTACATAAAAGTGATACAAAATAATATTGCAGCTTCCAGTGAGAGTAAAGAAGTGCATAAATTGATTTATAAGAAACTGGATGACCTAACAGGCGAAGTTAGGATATAAATCATCAACACCACTGCTCTTAGAGAAATTCATGAAATCTTCTTGCTTTATAAGTATATTTCATCGGTGGTAAACATTGATAAGTTTTTTCTATTACTGTTGGTTTTTAGTGGCAACTAAAGCATAATTCATTGCTGTATTTTGACACCACGACCAGCGGTTTGCAAAAGGATTGTATAACATGCCATGCACCAGACGTACACAACAATTATTTTCTTCCAGAATCATTTGCAAAAACTGTGGCTCTACAAATTTCGACCAATCATGAACACCTGATGGAACAATATTTAGAACATCCTGGAAAAATGGTTGTTGACGACTGAAAAGTGTCTACTCAATGGTCATTTTTTAACATACAAATTTATAATAAAATTAAATCAGAAAAAATTCTGAAATTGTCTAACAAAATATTAATCAAAAAAATATTATTACAGAACTTTCTTATTCTTTCATTTTAAAGGAATCTTTTTTAGTAACGGAAGAACTTTAAAAAATACACCTCTGCAATCCAAATAGTCACAAGTCTGCTTAAGACAGTTTTGTTGATAGTTGTGAAAAACAATGTACCACTGTTGTGTAGCAGATGAACACATGACTTCACGAAAAGTTCTAAATCAACGACATGCTCGAGAATCTCGGATGCAATCACAGCATCAAACCCTGCAAAAATGAAATATTCGATCGGTAAAATAAGCAAAATGCGATAAAAATATCTAAAAATAACGACTACAAGCAACAAAAAAAAACTACTATACTTTTCCAGAAACGTAACTTTTAAAAAAATTTCTCAATGAAACTTCCAGATCATGAATTACACTTCAATTAATGTACCTTACTTCCAGCATTCTTCGCAGCAAAATTTTCAATAGAAGAACAATGAAAGGTTGCTTTGCCTGATCCATTTTTTTCCTCACGCAAACAATTTTCAGCATCTTTTGCTGATGCAATTACTTCATTTGATGCATCAATGGCATCTACATCTGCTCCCAAACGCACTAAAGGAAAAGTCAATATTCCGCCACCTGAGCCAACATCGGCAATACGTAGCCCCAAGAGTGATTCCTTGCAAAAGAAAGATACGTCTGTTACATACCGTTAAAAAAAGCACGAAAGTTTTATAAAAAAAATAATTAAAATAAACAAACTTACATGAGCTTTCTGGGCTTTCTTACCAACTGTATTCACAATCAGAGGTAATCGCAGTCGATTCAATGAATGCAGTGCTTTGAAAGCCCCATCTTCCTTAGCCCATTCTGATGACAATTTTGCAAAGGTTTTTACATCACTAAGATCTACTGAAGTTTGCTGACGTCTTTTGAAATACAAGTGCTGTTTTCTCGTAACCAAAAACAAGCGTTTAAAGGTACTAGCAAAACATGGACTTTGTAGAAGATCAACAAACATCTGAAGTTTAATTTGATTTAGAAAAGCATAATAGACTGCAATAGAGTTTGGTCTTTCCTGCTTTAAATTACACTATTTAAAGTGACGGGATAAACATAATGATTTAAGCCTTAAAATTAGAAAATAAAGAAAATGGATTCTTGAGCCAATATCAGCATTAAAACTACGTCTGTTGAAAAGTTTTTTATTAATTGCACAAGAGCATATAGATACCTACAAAGTGACAATAATATGGTTAAATGAGCACAATATATCTACATCTAGTACTTGCACTAATTTTTGCTTCGCAGAAAAGTGGATAAAAAATCTTTTGGCTTCGTCTCAACATTCTCACGAAATAGCATGTTACGCAAATGCACTGGATTGTACCAGGTCTTTTGGCATCCCAAGATGACCTGAAATCACATTTGCATGAAGCTCGCGAAAAAAAAAATTCGCTACGACTCTTGATCAATAACTGCTGAAACCAGAAGTTTTTATAAAAATTACAGGCAGTAATAATTCAAGAAAGAATGGCAGAAGTAGAAATATTGAATTCGAGTGAAAAAATTAAGAAAGAACCACATAACGAGTACTAAACACTAATTTTTGGAAGCAAAAAAAGGGTTTTACCACTTACTTCACGACACTCAGCTATTTTTCGATCAATAACACGTATGTCGGTTAAATGTGAATTGTCAGAAAATTGCTTTTTCAAAGCAGATCGAAATACGGGCAATGGTATGTCGTGAAGTAGGAATGTTTTGTATATATCTGGGGCGACACGTTGCCTGCAATATTCAATGAACAATGCAGAATAGAAGTGAAAATTTAGAAAGTATCCAACATTATGGCAGAAAGTTCTAACAAAGCATGAGTAAAGTAAAACCGTCAAGTACGATATCCAAAACATCTTTTCGAAAAATCAGCAAAATTTAATAGCAGCGATCCCTTCTTGTCCAACTCATTTTGCAAAGGAATTATTGATACAATTAACGTTTCATCAATTTAGAAGAACCTCATAAGAGCAAATGAGAAATAAAAGCAAAAAGAGAAGAAAGATTCTAATTAGTATTTTCAAAGGCATGTTGAATAAAGTTTCCAAGTACTATCAGCTAAAATTGTGAGTAAACATAATGTGTAACTAGAAACAAATTTCCAGTCGGGAATAATCAAACATTCATATGTAACCACATCTCTTGTAAACTTTCTCATTGGCTTTACTCCTTTCCTGAATTAAAGATCTCTCTCTTCTCAACACAACATGTCTCATGGCACAATTAAAAAAACAATGTCAAGTGTAGTTCTTAATTTGCTTACCGGCACGCAGAAATAACTATCTGTAATGATGAGAGAAAGGAACAAGGTCACAGTGACAAGATAATAATTTATTTTAGTTTATAACTTGCAAACATCATTGCTCTGATATCTACGACAGCTCTCTCTCGTTGACCCAATTCTGATTCTTATTACTACGATGCACAATGTATGCTGCTGGCTAGAATGCACTTACACATAGATGCATGCCCACATACATACATACACACAATGAACTGAGAACTAGTAACACAAAGTGAATTGCGCTGCACTGCATTGCACGCATTTACTTACAATATTCTCCCGTGAAGCATCCTACAAATGCTGACCAGATTTCATTCGATCAGAAATAGATATAGCATGCAGCCCAAATATTTTTTATAACATTCCACTTAAATACTTCAAATATATGGTGAAGCAAACGACACGAACTACTGTGACAGCATAGCAGTTTATTACTATCCCTAACGCGCACGAATGGATAAAAACATACAAATTACGAATGCTCAGGATAAAATAGAATATTCTGAATTAAGAAAGAGCAATCAACGAGAGTTAGCTCTTCACTTGGCATTTCAAAAACAGTGTTTACAAGAAAGAAGGCTAAGATAAATACCTTGTGCTAAATAACTAAATTACTTCACTAATTTCTCGTTTTGCCTAGCAAAACTTAATGTTATTACATTTCATATCACTGCAACTTTCAAATTTAAGTGGCATTTGCATCTATTGATTCTAGCTAAGAAAAAATGATCCATAAGTTCTAGTTTAAATTTCTCATAACAAAACAGTTCGCTTCGTTTCCGAAATCTAGTGCACAGTCCTCTAACCAGTACTTCAATGCACTGTGACAGCAAACACTAAACACTTAGATTACGAAGAAAAAAACAGAGCAAAGACAATTAGATGCACACAACCCCATCATGCTAGCCATTAATACTTCCAAAGTCTTTTCATGCTCTGCTTCAAGTAACAACACTGAGTTTCAAATCGATTCATTATCCATCTTCAGAGCTATGCAACACACGGCTACATCATCGGGACATTACGGATACCAATATATAAAAGAAAACGATGGCGAGGGTATGACGACGAGAAGTAATGCGACTATGCTAGCTGCACAGAGGTTTGGTGATATCCTAACCCTAACAACAATCTATCGATAAAGTAAAGACGAATGGTGACGACAGTGTATTCTCTTTCAGATAATCTTAAATTACATTTGTAAGTCATGAAACATACAAGTATATATATATATATATGGCTGATTTCTTGAATATCACTATAAAATCTTTTGTTCGTTCTCTCAACAAATGTTTTGTGACACACAACTCCTTGAAGGACATAAGTCTTCATGGCTCCTTTCTATATTGATCGCTTTCGAACTATTTACATGCCACACATGTAAGAAATGCTTCGAAACAAGCTATGTACTTCTATCACATATACTCTCTAACTATAGTTACAACTGAAAATAATTGTCATCTCCAGCCGTAAACTCTACTTATTTCTTCTTAATTTTCACTTACAAGCAGACAATTTTTGGATTACATGCTGTTGTAGAAATACATTTAAAGATATTCCACCTGCACTACTCAGTTTTGCCTCTCATGTTCATCAAAAATCCAGGAGATTCATAGAAAATAGCGTACGTGTAACGATAAATTAACTTTGAAATGTACTTGAATGGTTATCTACAAAAACGCTGTCAACAGATCTTTTAATTCAAGAAACAGAAATCTTTTTCAACTTTTAAAAATTGAAAACAGATCGTAAATCGGAAAAGCCACTAACTTTTTGCATACTTCATATTAGTAAATTTTATCCAGATCTTTTCTACGGATGACAAATAATCATGAACTGGTTAAGCTACCAACTGAATATTACTGTACGCAAATAAATGATGCAAAAAAGTCTTATCATAACGTTTTTCTTTTTAATGTAAAAACAACAGTCGAATACGAAGAAATGAAAGATTAAAAAAAAATCTTTCGACACTAAAAATAATCTGAAAAAAAAAATTAATTGGAGCTGATTTTTAGCTTCAAGCCTTCATTTTATCACGTAACCTAGGCATTAAATTTGTTAAAGTTGCATTGGTCAGCCGATTGTCAAGAGCAATGCATTAATCAGCTTTGCACAAATGTCATCAGAATCACAATCGTATAGTCAGAAGAAAGGAAATTCAGTGTAGTCAGTTTGTAGCTTGTTTAAAATGAAAAATCCTTCTAAATTTTACAAATAAACTGCTATATGATATATGGAAAATATAGTAAAAAATGATATGACTATATTTCGAAGTGATCAACTGCAAATTACATAAGTTTTAAAATATCCCTGCAAACATTGCAAAAAAGGCAATGATTTAAAGCACACAAACATGCTGACAACGTTGCAAAATCTACGACACAATACAGTGATTCAACGGTCACTCGTGCACAAATTAGGTTTTGGAATAGAATAGTGATGAGAAACACTAGATATTAGGGTGAAACTACAAAGATAGTCAAAATATGAATAGTAAAAAAGTCAAGGTAAAACTGTCTCTGTCAGAAACCACACTATACTACACAATGCTTAAAAAACCTAATATCTCTAAAGAAGTGGTAAGGGAAAAAATCAAAAATCGAAATTACTAACACTTTTTTATATAAAGCAAGAACATTGCTTCGACTTTGTGCTTTGCTGGTAGATACAACAGGAAGGACTTCACGTGCAGCACCGGTAACACTTTTCAGTATGCTTGATGTCATTTCCAAATCAATTCAATGTTTCTCCTTTCGATAACTGACATTTACATAAACAATTAACTAGATCGAATCAAAAAATCATTAAGGCATGTGGCTATTGTTAAATGAGGTGTAAATAAAATCGCTACAAACGGTTTTCTCACCATCAAAACAAAAAATGCTAAGACAAATCCTAAGCAAATGTTAAATTGATATAAAATAACTGATTACTCTAGCCTCCAAAAATTCGACTTTGCGCTCCAGTAATGATATTTTATCACTAAGTATAGCGATTTTGCTCCGACAAGATAGATCTGAAACATTCATCTTACTTTTGAAAACTTTAAAAAAAGTCCACTTTCAACCAATTGTAATAATTACTAGGTCACATTTTTTCTAGAACTATCCCATCCATTATCATTACAAAGTACTTGCATACGCAGAAATTTCCTGTAATCTTAACTGATAGGGTAAGTAAATTAATGTGACTTAAAAATAGTACATGTATTCACTATAATAATATACATACTTAAGCTACTTATTTGAACTTGGTCATAATCAATAAAATGGCAACATTATTAAAGGTTAAGTGGCAAGTCTACATCTGACTTACAGATGCTAACAAATTTACAATCATCCATTATACTTACTGCATCAGTC